CCTCGCAGTCCAGCAGACCCCATGCCCCAGGCCCCAGCCCTGTGGATTGAAACCACAGCCTATGGCCTGCTGCACCTGCTGCTTCGAGAGGGCAAAGCAGAGCTGGCCAATCAGGCGGCATCCTGGCTCACCCATCAGGGCAGCTTCCAAGGGGGATTCCGCAGCACTCAGGTAGGAGTTGCCATGGGCTCTGGGGCTGGCTAGTTCTGAGACCAAGTGCTGAGTCCTACCTGGCCTGACCTCCTTAGGACACAGTGATTGCGCTGGATGCCCTGTCTGCATACTGGATCGCTGCCCACACCACTGAGGAACGGGGACTCAATGTGACTCTCAGTTCCATAGGCCGCAGTGGGTTCAAATCCTATGTGCTTCAGCTGAACAACCACCAAATTAAAGGGATAGAGGAGGAGCTGCAGGTGAACGCACTCACACCTGGGTTGCCATGAAAACTGGGCCAGTCTAGAAGCCATCCCCACTGTCACCCTTCAGGAATCCCTGTGGCCCTCTTCCAGAGGTCCTCCTAGGAAGATTTTCTGTCTGTGTCACCAAACTTCTGAGCTTTGCTTTTCTCAGCCATAAATCATATATATGTGGAGTCTGTCCCACATGGTTTTAGGAGGCTCAAGTGAAAGAATGCATACAAAGGTGGAGACTTTTAGAAATGTGAGGTGGGATATTTTAAGGGAAGAGGTAAATTATTAGAGCAACAAACTGATTTCCGTCTGTCCTTCTGATGTCTGTTTCTCTTTTTTGTTCCTGAAAGTTTTCTCTGAGCAACAAGATTAATGTGGAAGTGGGAGGAAACAGCAAGGGAACCTTGAAGGTAAGGCTGACGGAGCAAGTGCCCAGTCAGGGGAGAGGCAGAGCCCACAGAAGAGGGAGGAGCTGGTGGTGAGGGGTCCCTAGAGGCTGAACTTATAGTCAGGGGGAAGAAGAAGCTACCTCAGGGTTGGTGTCCTCTGCTTCCATCCTGGGCCTTTCCCTTTTGCTCTGGTCTCCGCCTTTTCTGGGCATTTGTCATTTCCTTTATCTTCACATCTTGTTCCCTGCCAAGGTTCTATCTCCTGAACCAGAGGCTCAACACATTCCACAGTACCTCAGACACAGCAGGTCTCAAACCCCTTCTTTCTCCTATGTCCCTTATCTGAGTGATGGGATCCCCTTCTGCCCAGGAGCCCAGCCACCACTCTAGATGCCATCTAGAAGTACCCAGAGCATCTCCTTATAGACTCTGTAACTCCTGCTCTGCTCCCCTGCTGTCTAGGGCCTTTTCACTTGTGTCCTAGAGCCCTTGTTAAGATGGTCTTGGCCCTTCCTCCCATTTCTCCACTCTGATCCATTGTCCACATAGCAACGAGACTGACCTGAAAACACCAGTCAGATTCACCTAGAAAAAAAGTCACACTGGGGTCCCTGCCTACCTTTCTGGCCAGACCACACATCCACACAGCTCTCCCTGCATATATGCACTCCCTCTGCTCCCTGTACCATGGAACAAGCTCATTCTCCTCCTTCCAGCCTCAGCCAGAACCCTTTCCTGAGCTTTCCGTTCCAGCCTCCTGTGTGCCTTCTAGAGCGCTGACTTCCTTGGGCAGCCCTGCATCATCATCTCTGTCTCATGTCGTACCCAGCAGCCCATCTGGTGTCCACTTATGGTTGGACCATTAAGATGGGCTAGGGCTTTAGACCCCTCATCCCAAGGTGATGCCCTTAAGTCTGTACCCCAAGCATCGTATGTCCTCTCTCTGCCCCTTGCTGAGCCAGGTCCTGCGTACCTACAATGTCCTGGACATGAAGAACACAACCTGCACAGACCTTCAGATTGAGGTGTCAGTCATAGGCCATGTAGACTACACAAGTGAGTGTTGGAGTGGGGAGGCCTTGGGCCCTGAGGGGCTGATGTAGGGCTGAGTGGCCTCCCAGTCATTTCTCACCATGCTGCCCTGTGCAGGGGAAGCAAATGAGGATTATGAGGATTATGAGTATGAGGAATTTCCAGCCAGTGATGACCCAGGTGTGTATACCCATCCTGTGACACCCCTGCAGCTGTTTGAGGGACGGAGGAACCGCCGTAGGAGGGAGGTGCCCAAGGTGGCAGAGGAACAGGAATCCAGAGTGCAGTATACTGTGTGCATCTGGTGCGTGCTGGGAGCTGAACAGACCATGTTGGGTGCAACCACTGGGCTAGGAGAATGGGGGTGGGACAGAAGCTGGGGCTGCGCATCTGGAACAGAGTAACATGGAATCTAAGCATCAGGCCACATTTCTCCACAGGCGAAATGGCAAGGTGGGGCTGTCTGGTATGGCCATTGCGGATATTACTCTTCTGAGTGGATTCCATGCCCTGCGGGCTGACCTAGAGAAGGTATGGTCAGCTACCCAGACCATCCCTCTCTGCCCTCAGGAACCTTGCTCCATCCCTGTAGTACCACCAGATGCTAAGTCCTGGCTTGTTTGAGGCCTAGGGCCACTGACCTGAAACTGTCTCCCCTTCTCCACAGCTGACCTCCCTCTCTGACCGTTATGTGAGTCACTTTGAGACGGATGGACCCCATGTCTTACTGTACTTTGACTCGGTGAGTGGGGAGGGGTGATACAGGAAGGGAATTGATGGCACTGGGATTACTGAATCTGTTATGAAGTTTCAGGGGGCAGCTGTGTCAGCAGCTCTTGAGAACCTAGAATGTAAGCAGGGAGCCAGGACAAAAATGAGACCCACGTGAGCCACAGCAGAATTAGAGGCAGTCTTCTTAGGTTATGGCAGATAACAGAGGCCCTAGTTATATTGGTAATGAGGACAAGGCTGTCAGGAGTGTGGCTTGAGGGCATTTAGAATGCCTTGGAGGACAAGTCCTGCCACAATCCCAATGCAAGAATGGTACTTAAAGTCCAGTTTGAGAATCATCAACCTGGAAGGGTTTGTTGGGAGTCAGGGGGAAGAAGGAGGGCTCAGGCCTAGGAAGGAAAAGAGAAAAAAGGATTTTCCAGATGGAACCAGAGACGGTTCAGAAGCTTACTCTCAGTTTAGGGAGTCTTGCAGAGAATGTGTCCATAATTTAAGACTGCAGAGGGATTGGGACAAATAGTACTGGAGCAAGGTCACCATAAGTACAGTAAAGTTTATCAGAGACCTTGGGGATCAGTTTTTAGAGTTCTGGTGGCCGGAAGGTAACAGAATGTGAAGGATGGTAGAGATAAGATCAATAGCAATGGAATAGAAACAGGCCAAGTAAAGGCAGCCGGAAGCCTGCAGGCTGGGGAGTGATTCCCTAATCTTCCTTCCCCACCCGGTGCCAGGTCCCCACCTCCCGGGAGTGTGTGGGCTTTGGAGCTGTGCAGGAGGTGGCCGTGGGGCTGGTGCAGCCAGCTAGCGCCGTCCTATATGACTACTACAGCCCTGGTGAGCACTTGGGGACCACGTAGCATTTGGGGAGGTTTGGGTCGGCACCCTTATTTGGGATGCCAGGAACCAGCACAGTAAAAGGTGGAAGGGGGCTCCCTGAGATGGGGAGGTGTGGAGGAGGGACATGTGCCTTAACTCCACTCTTTGTTTTTCTCCAGAGCACAAATGTTCTGTGTTTTATGGGGCACCAACTAAGAGCAAACTTCTGTCCACATTGTGCTCTGCTGATGTCTGCCAGTGTGCTGAGGGTGAGAGGCAAGGTCTGGGCTAGGGCTGGGAAGATGGGCTGATGGGGCAAATGCACCCCTCATCTGGGCCTTCCACCTCAGGGAAATGCCCTCGACAGCGTCGTGCCCTGGAGCGGGGGCTGCAGGATGAGGATGGTTATAGGATGAAGTTTGCCTGCTACTATCCCCGTGTGGAATATGGTTAGTCTCTTCCCTCAGGGACCAGCTGTCTTGGTCTCTCTGGATTGTTTGTTCCTCTCACAGGCCCATGTGTGGCCTCTTTGCTGTCTGGGGTCTCTCAGCCTCTGCTGACCAACCTGCCTTCCCTTCCCCTCACCCTTGCCTAGGCTTCCAGGTTCATGTTCTCCGAGAAGATAGCAGAACTGCTTTCCGCCTCTTTGAAACCAGGATCACCCAAGTCCTGCACTTCAGTAGGAAGGGAGCCAAAGAGGCGGGCAACTGGGGGAGGCAGGGAGGTTTAGGTGTGGGGTCTGGCCAGCTGGAATCATGAAAGTTCAGACTGAGCACACGTTCTTAGCAACCTGGGCTTGCCTATAAGTGGGGAGTAATAGCACATGCCTATCAGGGACAGTAAGGGTTAAATGATAGCTGTGCAGAGCCCTGTGCTGCCCTTGGCCTTCCCTACCTCTCTAATGGCTCTTGCACATATTATCCCTTCAGCCAAGGATTCCAAGGCTGCTGCTGGTCAGACCCGCAACTTCCTGGTTCGAGCTTCTTGCCGCCTTCACTTGGAGCCTGAGAAAGAATATTTGATCATGGGTCTGGATGGGGCCACATATGACCTCAAAGGAGAGTGAGTTATCTGGTCCCTTCTGTCTTGTTTTCCTCACATCGATGACCTTCCTTAGGGAACACCTCCCTGGCACCCATCCCTGTCCCTCAGAAGCCAAGGCCTTATGCTCTCTATTCTGCATGCCCATCCTCCTGACCTCTGCTGACAGCCCTTTGTTCCCTGCAGCCCCCAATACCTGCTGGATTCAAATAGCTGGATTGAAGAAATGCCCTCTGAACGCCTGTGCCGGAGCACCCGCCAGCGGGCAGCCTGTGCCCAGCTCAGTGACTTCCTCCAGGAGTATGGCACCCAGGGGTGCCAAGTGTGAGGGCTTCCCCTCTCTGCTTCCCAGGTGGAGCCTGAGCTGGAGAAAGGTGACACTTGGCAGTGCAGCAACTCCTTGGCCTCTGAACACAGCCAGGGACAGGGTCACAATAAAGCCTTTTGCCAAAGTGTCAGTGTGTATCTCTAGGATTGAGAGCATCTGCCATTCTGGGTTCTGGGGGGCCAAGGCCAGATTTGTATAATCTTGGACTCTCAGAGCCTGGGGACCCTTGGACTGGCCACCTCTGCCAGAACCCACCCTGATGATGACTCACTAGACCTTAGTCATCATGGGACCACCTCAAGCAGAACTGTGACCCAGCAGCCTGTTCCTCAAGGACCAGAGTGTACCCTGAGATGTTCCCAAGGAGCTCCATCGCCCAATGTCATCAGTCACCTGGGCCTTGGGCAGGGTTTGTGCTCAGTTGACACATCACCTCTTGCCAGATGAGCTGTGTCCAGTCCCGTGTTCCTACTCTGACCTTGTGCAGTTGGCAGTCCTGGGGTCTGTTGAATTTAGCTGAGTCCTAGTCTGTTGAAATCCTGTTGACCCTTGATCCTGTTATCAATAGCATTAGGTATCTTAAGTTGTGCAATCCGATGATGATGTCTTCATCTGGGCACTGATTTTAAACAAGCCCAAAGGCTAACTATGATGTATTTGTTAATACTCTGAAGGAAATGATCATTCTACTGGGGACAACCCACTCTACTCTGTTTGCCTAGCTTTCTCCCACTTTGGTTGAACCCTTGGGATCTTAAGCGGTGACCTTAGAAATCCACCCAGGGGAATTTACTGAGATCAGTTTTGATGCCAACTGAGACAGTCCAGCAGCCCACCATTCAATCATTCAACAGAAATTCACAGAACTCTAATTCCATGCCATGCCCTGTGCCAGATGCCAGAAATATAGCCATCTGTTCCTCCTGTGCCAGAGCACCCACCAGTGCTCAGCCTGTGGCCAGCTCACTGTTGGAGGAAGCAGAAATGAGAATGAACACTCCCCATCCTTTGAAAAGTGTGATGTCAGGGAGCAGTGTGGTCCTGTGGGGCATCCATTCCAGTAAAGGAGAGTGCCAGAGAACCAGGGAAGGCTTCCTAGAAGAGGTGACATAGAAATTATGTTCTGAAGGTTGAGAAGGAGTGCATGTCATTCATCATATTTGGGAGTTGGAGTAGGGGTGGAGCTGTCCACCAGTGTGTCAGCTTTCCACATCAGTCTCTTTTCAAATGGAGCCCCCCTCTTCTTCCATGCAACATCAAGCAGTTCTGACCTTCCTTAGGACTTCAGCACTTCCTTGGATTCTGCTTAAGTGACCCTCTTGTTGCCATTTCATCTCTCCCTAAGCCATTCTGCATGATGGCAGCATAAACTCATTTGCCAGTAGCTGCAACTGTGACAAGACACAGCTCGGGCCCAGGAGGTCGACCATGAAGAGGACGGCAGCTGTCACTGCCAACTTCAGAAGTCCCACCCTTCTAGTCTCCCTTCAGGGCAAGGCATGAATCTAGGCTGAGCCTGAGCCTCTTTTAGGACTCCAAACAGCAGGGAAGGTCAAGCTAGTAGGTGGCACTGCTGGGATTTCAATTGGGGCTCTCTAGCAGCACAGCCTGTGCTCTGGATAAACCCCCAGGGGAGAGGGACCCCCTGGGTCCCAGGAGCTATCTGCAGAGATAGAGAGTTAGGGGAAAGCCTAAGCTCTTACCTCCCAGGCAGCCCTCTTTTCTAAGCCCCCAATTACCTCCTCACAAAAGTAGTCCCTGATAGTTACTTGATCCAGTGAAAATCCATCCCTTAAGACTACAATTCCAGAAGAGGAGTAGCCCCTGGTCAGTTTTGGCTATTGTGCTGCTTCCTGGACTTTGGTATTGATGCTCAGTAATGCTGGGAATCCACACTCTTCTTGGTCTGACCCTGTAACCTGTGGACCCTGGCACCAACAGCAACCCCTCTCTGCCTGCCTGGAAGCATGTCTCTTCTCTGCCAGCAGGGGAGAGAGGGGAGGAGTGACAGAGGAGGCAACTGCCACCTACAGGAATTTTTTTTTTCTGCCTCCTATTCCTGGTCTTCAAGGCCAGAGATCCCTTCCTTGCTTTCCTGTTGTTGGGTTCTGCAAAACATCTCCGTATTTGTATAACAATTCTTATCTTTATCACACGAGTTTAGGTGTGTTATTTTTCTTTGGGACCAAAGAGAGATGCCACTAGCTGTTAAAGGTACAGATTATGCAGCCTGATCACAAGCCTGAATGCTGCCTCTACCACTTTCCGATTGTTCTGGTTTTTGGGGAAGCCACTCAGCCTCTCATCTTAGGTTCCTTATCTATAAAATGGGAACAATACTAGTGTTCTATGTATAGCATGTCTGTGAAGGGTTACTTTATACAGGGAACGCACATAGAACAGAGTCTGCTACATATTAGGTGCTCTAAATGATGACCCCTATAATTCTTTGCCTCCTGGACACTTCTGATAGTGCAAGAGGCTCTATTAATAATTTCGCAGGGACTACAGGTATATATTTGGATGCCCCAGGCAAACTAGGCCATATGGCCACCCTATCTAAAAGTAAAAACAAAGAAAACCCTATTTTCATCTCATTTGTCCTTCAAACAATCCTGGAGGGACACAGTAGGCAGGGACTGTTATTTTTCTCTTGGAGACAAATTTAAACCAGTAAAATTGTCCAAGGTGGGTATGGAGGGCGAGGGCCTGGGCTGGGGATGGACACATTGACCTGCATGGCTGACATGGAACTGGAAAGCTGATTCTGGATGAAAAAGGTCAGGGTTTTGTTTCCCTTCCTATCTTCTTGATAGATGGTATGTCCTTTGAAATGTGATATCTCCAAGGTCTATAAGACTGTCACCATCCTGGGAATGTGTCACTCTGTGGGTAGGACAGTGGGAAGGGTCCTGAAGGTGGGGGCTGGAAGGCTGCCAAAATGACCCAAGCAACAAGGCGGGGGCTCAAGAGTTATAAGTGGTTGTGACAGGGCCTCGCACAGGTCTTCAGCCATGCTGTTTCTTGGGCTGTTGTTGCTGCTGACACTATTGGCTGGCAGCCGCCTGCTGTGGGGCCAGAGGAAACTCAGGGGCTTCCACCTCCCTCCTCGTGCCCCAGGCTTCCTGCACTTTCTGCAACCCAACCTCCCCATCTATCTGCTCAGCCTCACTCGGAAACTTGGGCCCATCTACAGGCTCCGCTTGGGGCTTCAGGGTGAGTGCTCACTCCTTCCTTGTCCCATAGGAGGCTAGGTGGGGTCCTGCCCTTCCTGACACCTGCTTGGGCTCCCCCCAGATGTCGTGGTGCTGAACTCCACCAGGGCCATCGAGGAAGCCATGGTCAGAAAGTGGGTGGACTTTGCTGGCAGACCCCGAGTACCATCCTGTAAGAGCTGGGGGCATTCTTGAGGGAGAAAGGGACTTGGGAGGTAGGAGAAGTTCAGGTCCTTGGCTTCTGTGGTCAGTTCTTACCATCCATCCCTGTGATTCCCACTGCAGACAAGCTGGTGTCTCACAACTATCCAGACCTGTCACTAGGGGACTACTCCCTGCTCTGGAAGGCCCATAAGAAACTTGCCCGCTCAGCCCTGCTACTGGGTGTCCGTGAATCCATGGAGTCCCTGCTGAAGCAGCTGACTCAGGAGTTCTGTGAGGTGAAGCTGGGCTCCTGCAGCCCAGCCCTTCCCATGGGTCAGGCTCCCCTCTCTCATAGTGCCCCTTTGCTCCCCTGCCAGCCTGTGTAGCTCCTGCTCTTCCCCCACAGCACCTCAGAGTCCAGGCCAGTGCCCCTCTAGCCATCCACAAGGAATTTTCTTTCTTTGCCTGTAACATCATCTGCTGCCTCACCTTTGGAAAAAAGGTAAAGGTTGCCCTCCCTTCCCTTCCATCCTCCCCCTCAATCCTTCCCTGACCCTTCCTTGGTCCCAAACTGAAAGTATTCCTTCGTTTCTGGCAGGATGACACCCTGGGACATGCCATTTATAATTGTGTTCAGGATGTCATGAAAGCTTGGAACCACTGGTCTGTCCAAATTTTGGACTTGGTTCCCTTCCTCAAGGTGAGGAGGTGGAGTCCAGACATGTAGGTGGGGCTAGAGGAATAGGCCTCCTTCTCAGCAGCTCACTCTTGCCTCCCCCTTCTATCCTTGTCCAGTTCTTCCCCAACCCAGGGGTCTGGAAGCTGAAGAAGATCATGGAAAAAAGGGACAAAATTGTAGAGCAGCAGCTGAGGCAACACAAGGTGGGAGTGACATGAATGGACCAGGCTCCCTTCAGCCCAGGCCGGTGATGCTACTGCCTCAGCATCACTGCTGGGTCCACCTTTGGACCTGCTGCCCCCACACATCCCTCCCCGAGCTGGGAACTCAGTCACTCCCCCACCTTCTGCAGGAAAGTTTGGTGACAGGCCAGTGGAGAGATATGATAGACTACATGCTCCAAGAGCTGGGGCGGCCGAGAGAGGACAGTGGTTCTGGACAGCTCCTTGAAGGGCACGTGCACATGGCCGTGGTGGACCTTTTCATCGGTGGCACTGAGACCACAGCGACCACCCTCTCCTGGGCTGTGGCTTTCTTGCTTCACCACCCTGAGGTGTGCGCCAGGGGCGGGCAAAAGGTTCCTTCCTGTCAGCTTGGCCAGGGTCAGAAGATCCCAGCTCCCTCTTCTCTTAGTGCTGCACCCTGGCAGGGGCTACATTCATCAAAAAGAACACAATGGCTCAATATCTGGGTATCTGGAGGGAGTGGCTGGAGGTCAGGCAGTTGTGAGTGGGCAGCAGCAGAGCTTGGTCCCTGGTCTCCAGGCTTACCCTTGCCTCACAGGTTCAGCATCGACTGCAGAAGGAGCTGGACCTCCAACTGGGGCCCGGGGCTTCAAGCTCTCAGGTCCTATATAAGGACCGAATGCGACTGCCCTTGCTCAATGCCACCATCTCAGAGGTGTTACGCCTTCGGCCTGTGGTGCCCTTGGCCTTACCCCACCGCACCATCCGGCCCAGCAGGTGAGTCCCAAGGGTTAGGGATGAGTGAGGAAGGCCTGAGCAGGGTCCTGGTCAGCCTCTAACACCACCTTCCCTCAGCATCCTTGGCTATGACATTCCTGAGGATACAGTCATCATCCCTAACCTCCAAGGTGCCAACCTTGACGAGATGGTCTGGGAGCGGCCACAGGAGTTCTGGCCTGGTATGTGGGGGGCCAGGTGCCAGGCATGGAGGTGAAGGAGGAAATGGAGGAGGCAGAAGAGGAGGTGGAGGAGGCTCATAACAGCTAAAAACCTCCCTGTCCCATCCACCCATCTGCTCACAGACCGATTCCTGAAGCCTGGCAAGAACCCCAAAGTGACATCCTTTGGCTGTGGGGCACGCGTGTGCCTAGGAGAACCGCTGGCGCGTGTGGAACTCTTCATGGTGCTGGCCCACCTGCTCCAGGCCTTCACACTGCTGCCTGAGGGTGCCCTGCCCTCTCTGCAGCCCCAGCCCTACAGTGGTGTGAACCTCCTGATGCAGCCTTTCCAGGTGCGGCTGCAGCCCCGGGACCTGGGGGCCCCAGGGCATGACCAGTGCCAGTGATGGGGCAGGATCAGTGCCAGCCAGGTGCCTCAGTTTCTCCTTTATTGCTCCCATAGAAACCCCTCCCCCTCCCCCCTGTAAACATGATGCTGTGAGGTCACAGGCAGAGAAGGCTTCCTCTGGTGGCTGGGAGGTGGAGGCATCCCTGGCTCTTCTCTGGGTGTGACCCCTCAGTGCTCGGCAGTCATACTGGGGTGTGAGAGAGGTGGGCAGCAGCTCAGCCTCCCCCTACAGGGGACCGATAGCTTCTTGGTCTTAGCTTCATTTCCGTAAAGGGTACAGAGAACTCAAAGCCCTTCCAGTGGTACCAGCTCACTCCCTGGGGAAAGTTTGGCAAGAGTCAAATCTGGATATCTCATCTGTCCCTACCCCTGCCCCTTTAGGAAGTGATTCCCAGAGATCTATCCACTCTCCCGGTACCCTGCCCACCTTCCATTGCAATCCTCAGCTGCCCAGGACTGAGGTTTAATCCTGAGCTGGCCTTTTTCACCTAATAAATCATCTTATTGGGATAACTCAGCAAGGTTGACTTTATTATCCCATTTCACAGATGGGGCCCTGAGGCATGAGCAACTCTGTCACATCCTGGGCTTCACCCAAGCAACCAAGCCCCAGTCACTGCAGCCCTGCTGCCTCCCCAGCCTCTTACCTGGTGGTCCACTGTGCTCCCATAGAGCCCATTGAGGTTGGCATAGTGGCAGTTCCTGTACCACCATGCCCCACGGTAGGAGACAGCGCAGGAAATGAGCAAGTTGTTGGGGTCTCGATCACGGGCCGAAAAGACACTGCCACTGTGGTAGCTCATGGAGTCCCCTGGGCAGGGCATGAGAAGGAATGGTGAGGTCACTCCTTCCCACTCCCTCTCCCAGGCCTGGGCCTGCTCTTACCTGCGGTGCCATGGTAGCCCTCCAGGTGGAGGCGGTAGTTCTCAGCAGCTGATCCTACTCGGAAGGAGTCATACTGGGCGAACACAGCCTCATCCCCAGCCCGCAGGTCCACACGCATGGAGTAATCACCAGCCTGTGTCAGGCTGTGTAGGGCTTCATTGCCTGGGGGTAGGGGTGGGTGCTTCATCAGAGACCACATGTCCACAGGGCCTTCATCCCCTCCCTAGTTCCCCAATCCCTGAGGCACTGACCCAGCCAGAACTCCCTGGAGATGTTCCCAAAGCCATGGGCATAATCCTCCCAATCCCTCCAGAAGTCTGTTTGTCCGTCCATGCGGCGCTGGAACACCTGGGAGGCAGATGGGAACAGCATTAGTCTCTGGCTTCAGGGGCAGCAGTCTCTGCCCTACACAGATCCCTGGGGTGTGAGAGAGGAGGGCAGCCACCAGCTGGCACCCACCAGCCAGCCGCCCCCATCGGTCTCCATGTCACAAAACACATTCAGGGGCCGCTCGCGATTGCCATTGAGGAAGATGGTGGTGGTTCTCGAGGTGCTGGGCCCATTCTGCATCTCCTCCCCACAGTCCCTGGGGAAGGGGATCCGCAGTCCACCTGGGGAGAGGAGTGTGAGAAACCTGTCCTTTTTCCAAACCTTAGACCCTGCAGCCCACCCAGTGCGGGCCCCAGTTCTGGGTACCAGTGGTGAAGGAGGTGGATACTGGTGGTGTGAGGCTTTGGCCCCACACAGCCTGGAGCCGTGCATTATAGTAGGTAGAAGGGAAGAGGCCAAGGAGCCGGTGTGAGGTGATTCCCGAGGGGAGCAGGATCTCCTGTGGGACAGACAAGACATAGGTCAGGGGAGGGAGAGACCTCCTGAGGAAGCCAGAGCCAGCACCTCCGAATCAATCCAGGGAGAGGAGGTAGCCAATAGGGTAGGGGTGCGGGCACCTGAGTCTGTCCACCAGGGGTGTCAAAGCTGAGCAGGTAGCCTGTGGGTAGGACTTGGGGCTCAGTCCAAGTGAGCAGCGCTGTTCGGGGAGTCACTTCCTTGGTTTCCAAGTCCAGGGGAGCCTTCAACCCTGGGAGGGGAAGATGGGAAGAGATAATGGGGATGAGGCCTGCCCGGCTCCTTTGCCCTTCTCCTTACCCATTTCACATACCCCAGGCTGTACCTGTGGTGAAGGTGATGCTGGCTGGGGAGGTGAAGTTAGGTCCCCGGAGGCCGCGCACAGTGGCAGTGTAGTTGGTGTGGAGCACCAGGTCGCGCAGGGGGTAGTCCACAGCACTGCCCGGGGCGGAGTCCTGCAGAGATGGGGCTGGGAATGGGGGTGGGTGTCAGCTCCTGCCATTCCCTGCTCTCCTACCCCCAACAGTCCCATGTAGAGGGAGTCTTCAGCTCTGCTCACCCCCTGGGGCTGTGACCTGGACGTTGTATTTGTCCACGGGGTTCTGGGGGGGCTTCCAGTGCAGCAGAGTGGATCCCTCAGTCAAGTTCAGTGCTCGCAGCTCAGTGGGGCCATCAGGAACTGGGAGAGGGGAGGGGCTCAGAGGGGTCTCCACCACTGTCCCTACTCCTAACCTTCCCGAACTCACTGGCTACTCCCTTGTCCACAGTCAGAGCTCCAGTGTCTCCCCTCCCTTCCCCTTGGGTTCCTTCCAGGCTCCTACCCACACCCTCATTTTCTCTCCCTCCACCTGCTGCGCTGGCCCAGTCCCTCTCACCAGTGGTGAGGAAGCCTGTGAGAGGCTCACTCTCCTCAAAGCCGCGGACAGAGACCACTGTCACCTCGTAGCGAGCACCTGGGATCAGCCCCTGAATTTTCTGGGTCTGGGCCCGGCCATCCACCTGCACACTCTGCGGCTCCCCTGAAATCATATTGGGGGCTAGGAGGTTACCCAGGGAACTCCATAGCAACTGGGGGTGGACAGAGGGCAGGGGCCGGAGAGATGAGAGAGCAGATGAGGACATGGGCAGAAAAGCGTTACCTCCATCTGCCAGCTGGTAGGAAACTTTGAAGCTGTCCACCCTGGATGTTGGTGGCACCCAGCTGACCATGGCTGAGGTCTCCCCAATTTCGCTGAATTGGAGGTCACGTGGACTCTCCAGAACTGAGGATGGGAGCAAGGGATGATGGTGAGGGCAGGGGCAGGGAGGTTCCCTCCCTTTCTCCTGGGCCTCCTGGCTCCAGAAGTGCCCACCACACCTTTTCTTAGGAATGGAAATTGCTCTCAAGAATCCTCCATGCCTCCTACGCACTCCCCAGCCTCCCTCTGGCTGAGGTACCAGGTCCATTTTAGTGGGTGCCCCAAATGGGGCCTTACTTGGGCTGAGGGTCCGGGCAGTGCCTTGGATGCTGTCAGCCTTGTGAGGCCCTCGTAGCCCATAGAGAGTAAGGCTGTACAGGGTCCCAGGGCGCAGGTCTCGGAGCACCGCTGAGCGCCTCGTCCCAGGCACCATCAGCTCCCGTTGCAGCAGAGGACGTGGATGTGGCTCCAGGGTGCTTGGTGATGGAACCCCAAAGCGGAGTAGGAAGGAATCAAAGGCTCCAAGTGGGGCCTCCCAGTTGAGCCGTAGCGAACTGGTGGTCACATCAGTCACTGACAGATGAGACAGGCGGGGCCCTGGGTCTCCTGGGGTCAGACCAGCAGGAGGAGGCCCTGGGAGGAACAGATGGGAAAGAAAAGTTGGAAACAGATACACACCAGCCCAGTGGCCCTCTGCCACTGCCCTGGCATATTTCTCTGTCAACAGTAGAGCTGGTAAAGGACTCCTTTAGTGGCTGCGGGTAGGAGCAGAGCAAAGAGCTGCCCCAGAGTCCATTGGCCTGCCTTCTCCTGGACACCACCTCAATCCCTCAAGTGATCCCCATTTCTGGGGGCCCCCTTACCCGGCTCAACCCAGGCCTGGCCCCACCTGTGGTGCCCTCTGTGGAGATGGGCCCTCGACGCATCCCTTCATGGAGACCATAGAGGGAGAACTGGTAAGAGGTGTTGGGCTCCAGGCCTGAGATGAGGACCTTGTTCTGATCACCATCCACAAGCAGGGCCTGGGGCTGCCCATCTGTGTCCAGATACTGGACCACAAAGGAGTCAAAGGGGCCCCGGACCACACTCCACGACAGGCGCAGTGAGTCTGGGGTTGCCTCGGTCACAGCCATCACCCCCAGCTTCGGTGCTTCAGAGGGCTCAGGGGCTTCTGGGGCTGGTGTGTCCTCTTCTGGGGCTATGTGGGGGGATCCCAGAGAAAAAGTTAAGTGGAAGTGCCACAGGGCTCTGCTTTTTCCATCTTGCTGGCCCAAGGCCGGGGTGGGGACTTTATAGTTCTGATTAGGCTATCAGGTAGAGAGAAGAGAGGGGCTAAGTTCTTCTAGGACTTTCCATCTCTTAAATCTGACTTATTCCTGACATGCCTGAGGCTTGTTCCCTGATTGGAAAGCTGCTGTGACCTCATCCTCTTTCCAGGTATCCTGTGCTGTGTCTGGATCAAGTACATATTTTCCCCTTCCCCACCCAATCCCATCCAGCCTCTCCTCTAGATGTCTGCACAGGCTTCACCCTGTACTGACTGCCTGGCAATCATGGGGCTTGGGGCTTGGGACACATGGTATTCTTTCTGAGAACAGCTGAGGGTGGACCGGGCTGTGATAGGCCAGTCACACCAGCTGCCTCTAACCTGGCAGACCTGATGTGGATGTCAGTGACCTCTGGAAGAGGAGCCTGCCCCACAAATGCAGCCACATCTACTGGCTTCTGTGTCCCTCATCTGTTGTGTTTCCCAGTGATTTTCCATTTGAGGAAATGCTCCTGCCTCATCCATGGCAGGAAAGTTTGCCCCGGTCTGGAGGTTAACATACCCCAACAGAGTAGTGGGGGGAAGCCACATGATGGAGCAAAAACTGGGGTCAGCAAGTAAGGGAACCACCACCAAGACCTTTCCTTCTCGCCTGTCCTGGCTCCGCTTTTGTCTAACTCTGTAATCAATGGCAGTCTGACTTAGTGGCAAACTTTCCTTTTCCTTGGGCCCTGGTCAAGGCTCCCTCTCCTGGCCTGTCCACTCCGGTCAGTCTTTAGCACAAAAGTGCAAGGAAGCTACCTGCTAGTGCCAAGCAGGACAGCCTTAGGCCTCACCTGTCATTCTCAGGACGGAGACTGGGCCCAGGCGCTTTCCTCCAACTAGTCCATAGAGCAGAAACTTGTATTTCCTGCCAGGTTTCAGGCCCTCTATGGTGACTTCAAGCTGGTCTGCAGCCACAGGCACTGCCTGGGACTGCCCGTTGGTGTCCTTATACTGGACTAGGAAGGAGTCAAAGGGGCCCTCGGCCACAGTCCAGGACAGGCGCAGGGAGTCTGAGGTCTCCTCAGTCACTGCTAGTTCCCCTAGGCGCGGTGGGGGCTGCCGGGTTTTCTCCAGGGGAGCTGTGGAGAGCATAAGGGAGAATCCTTGTTAAGACCTGCCTGACCCCGAGCCCTGAGGTATAAGGGTCTTGGAAAGGTCCCCAGGTTGTCTCTGGGACAGCCACCTAAGGATAAATAGGCCTGCTTTGCAGGATGAGGGATAGCAGCCCGGTCCTCCCTCTGGAGGCCACTGCCCACCCCCCTTCCCATCTCTGCTCCCTCCCTGCTGTGTTCAAGGGTACAATAAACATAAAAGATCATCTCACCAGAGAAGGGTGGTACAGAGGGGGACCTTAATTTCCTCTGACTTCTAGCCTCTGAGCAGGGCTGTGGTCAAAGCTGAGAGACTCTCAGAGGGTGTCTGGATTGTCAGACACCCCCATGTGGGAGACCTGGGTTGGGCAGCCAGGCAGCTCACAGCTTCTGTCACTGCTCAGCCTTATCTCCTGCCATGGCCATCAGCCTGAACCATCCGCCCACCTGCTTCCCCAGTCCCACACTAATCCTACTGGACCAGGGCAGCTGGGGTAGGGCAGAGCTGGAAGAACAAAGAACAGAGAAAAGGAAACTCTCCCATATGGGGATGGCTGTTGATAGAGATCAGAGGAACCCATATGTAGTCTCAAAGTGAGAGTTTGGGGTAAAGAAAAATGGAGTCTGGTTGGGCACAGTGGCACATGCCTATAAGCCCAGCAGCTCAGGAGGCTGAGGCAAGAGGATCGTGAGTTCAAAGCCAGCCTCAGCAATAGCAAGGTACTAAGCAACTCAGTGAGACCCTGTCTCTAAATAAAATACAAAATAGTGCTGGAGATGTGGCTCAGTGGTTGAGTGCCCCTGAGTTCAATCCCCAGTACCCCCCCCCCAAAAAAATAATAATGGAGTGTGGGGCCCCAAGCCCTGACTGGCTGGCCAGGATGACTCATGGTCCTGGGAGTGGGTAAGGGTCAGTGACCCACTCCACCCTTTTCTCAGGGGGCTGAGTCATGGGCTCAAGGATACCAGATTTTTCCAGTCTTTCTTCAGCCAAGCCCTCCCTTACTTTCCACCTCTTGCCTCAGGGTTGGGATGGAAGAAGAAGGATGGGCAAACTGAGTGCCAGTGGGGATTATTCATCACCATCACGCAGGTGAGGAAGCCAATGTCCATGGCCACATGGCTGGAGAGGGCTGAAGTTGGAATCTGAACACAGGTCGGCCCAAAGCCTACTTCTTAATCCTTCAGCAGCAGTTTATGAATGAAGGTAATAGTGCATATGAAATGCTCACAATTGTGTTTAGCACACAGTAGGGACTTTCTTTTGGTGTTATGGTTGCTATGCCCAGGCTGAAGAGAGAATATATTTCCTGGGAAGGCCATGCTGTCAACTCTGGGCTCTCAAATAAGAGGCAGCTCTGGAAAGGGCAGGAGGCAGGGCCAGGGGCTTGCTTACCTGTGGTGCCATCAGCAGAAAGGGGGCCCAGCCGCTTCCTGCCTGCCAGGCCATACAGCAGGAACTTGTATTTCCTATTTGGCTCCAGGCTGAGGATGGTAACCTTATGCTGGTCTGCAGCCACAGGAACCACCTGGGGCTGCCCATCCCTGTCCTTGTACTGGATCACAAAGGAGTCAAATTCGCCTTCAGGGACCGTCCATGAGAGGCCCATGGAGTCAGGGGTCACATCTGTCACTGTCAGCTCTCCCAGGCGGGGAGAGGGTTTCTTGTCTGGGACTGGAAAAGAGAGGGAGCTGTATGGAGAGTGATGGCCACAGAGATGGAAGCAGAGAGATTGCTGTGTGTGTGTGTGTGTGTGCTATGCTCTATGGTTATGGAGGACATGAGGGAGCAAATGGACCAGGAATAGGTATAAAAGCACTGCAAAAAAAAAAAAAAAGTCAGCAAAGAAACTAAGGGTCTCCTGGAATGGGATGTAAGCAGGGTAGGGATAATGATGGGAGTGGCGTGGGGGAAGAGAAGCTCAGGGTCTGGATTTCAATAAACCTGATAAATAAATGGGTCCTGAGGTCCTAAGGTCTGGAGTGTGAGGCACAGAAATATGAAATCCCAAAAGTCACCACAAGGGGGCGGAGCAGGCCACGAGCTCCAGAGACAAAGGTGGCCTCTGTCCTCCACTCACGGGTCTTGACATCCACAGAGACTGGGCCATGGCGCTTCCCATCCAGGAGTCCAAAGAGCAAGAACCTGTACTTGCGGGCGGGGTCCAGACCCGAGACAGTAACCTCACGGAGGTCTCTATTCACGGGAACTGCCTGGAGCTGCCCCTGTGCATCCTTGTACTGGACCAGGAAGGAGTCAAAGGGGCCCTGGGCCACGGTCCATGAGAGGTGCACAGTGTCCAAGGTCACAGCTGCCACAGCCAGGTCCCCAAGGTGGGGCTCCACGGGAGTCTGGGTAGGGAGGGAGGCTGGAAGAGAGCAGAAGAGGCTGAGGATAGAGGCAGGAACTGCTCAAAGGGAGACGGTTCTTTCCCCATAACCTCTTCCCTGTATCCCAGGCTTTGCTGTAGGCAGTTCACACCTGAGAGTGCACCTAACTCCCAACAAAGTGCTAATAAAATTACCACCCCACACTGCAGGATCTGAGGCCACAGGGGTTAAGAAAAGCTTGCAAAATCACAGTTAGTACGCTTGGAGGCAGATTCAAATCTACACAGCCCAAACCTGGAGCACATTTGGAGTCATTAAAATATCCAGTCATGGAACCTGAAGGTGCAATTAATGAGAAATAGAGTGACTTAGAAGTTCTGGATAATGGAGGGAGGAGGGAAGCCACAATAAATGGGGCATGGACTACACGCCCATTTCACCACAAATTAAGTGATAAATAATATTCAATTCAAGGACAAGCAACATCATTAGTAATATTTAAGAAAATAGGAACCAAGAGGTCCAGTGATAAGGTGTTGATATCCAAAAAAGAACAAAGAAAAAAACAGAGGGGACCCCAGAGTGAAGGGCCCGCCCCTTACTTACAGGTCACCCCGACAGCAGATGCAGGACCCACGCGGTGGCCCTGGTGGAGTCCATACAGGTGCATCTTGTACTTGCATCCAGGCTCCAGGTCCCCCACAGTGGCCTCTCTGTCCTCTCCTCCAATACGTACCACCTGGGGCTGCCCATCCCTGTCCTTGTACTGGATGGTGAAGGAGTCAAACTGGCCCTGGGGCACAGTCCAGGAGAGGCTCAGGGAGTCAGGGGAGGAGCCTGTCACTGTCAGCTCCCCCAGGAGTGGCTCCTCAGTGGACTCTGGGGCCTCTGTGCTGGGTTCTGTGGGCCTGGGGGTCTCCTCCACCTCTGTGGGGCTGGGGGTCTCCTCCACTGCAGCTGAGAAGGAGAGACAGAGAAGGTGAAGCAGGCTCTCTAGGAGATGCACTCAGGTCTTGGGGAGAAGGAGAGAGAAGCCATGGCCACCACTGGCGGTACTGAAGTCAGTTTAGACAAGTCCAAGTTCATCCTTGGGGCTGAGAGGCCCTGCTCAGTTGACAAGCATGCCCAAGCTCAAGGTCAGCTGGATGGAACTGGGGGCAGCTCCCAGCACAGCACAAGTCCCTGCGGTCCTTCCCTGACCAGTACAAATGTTCCCTGCTCAGCTGTTACCCAAGAGTGAGAGTCAATCTCCCACTGGGTCCCACCCTGGGGGTCCCAGCATCCACTCACTTGTTACCCCAATGACAGAGACGGGGCCTATGCGCTGGCCACTGTGGAAGCCATACAGGTGCATCTTGTACTTGTGGTCTGGCTCCAGCCTTGAGATGGTGACCTCGTCCTCATGCCCTGGCACCCGCACCACCTTGGGCTGCCCGTCCCCATTCTTGTACTGGACCAGGAAGTGGTCAAACTGCCCTTCAGGGACTGTCCAGGAGAGGCTCAGGGAGTCAGGGGTGGCATCTGTCACAGTCAGCTCCCCTAGGCGTGGCCTGAGAGGAGGCTCGGGGGTTGTGGTGGGTGTTACTTGCGTGGTCATTGCTTCATCCTCTGCAGAGGGACACACACACACATACAGGGACAGTGAGATCTCTTCTGCCCTCTCAGTTCAGAAGCCAAAGCAGCATTTACAACAAATAAAGCACCAAGGAGCAGAATGATGCTGGCCATGGCACCACTGACATGTCCCCTTCCTGCTCCTTCCACATCCCCGTTCCTAGCCCTCACCCACCATCTACTAACTGCCACCATCTATCAACACCCACATAACTTCTCCTCCCTCCAGCACCTGCCTCTTGAGAAGGGCCCACTTGGTCACTGTACCCTGGGCCTCCCTCCACTGGGGTCTCCTGGCCACCTTCTCATCCGCCTGGTTCAGGTCTTTGCTCCCAAAGAGCCTCAGAACACCCCACCCAAGCCAGAAACTGGGGAGTGCCCTGGACCTGTCCCTCTCCCAGCTGCCATCAGACTCGGAGGATGTCCCAGACTCCTTCCTAAGTTCCTCTAGCTGCAGGCCCTGGGGTGGCCACTGTCTCTTCTCACTTGGATTGTTTCTTCCCTATTGCCCTTCCTGACTCTGGGCTCACCTGCACCCGCCATATTTAACATGGCCTGAGCTTGGTATGTTCACATCAGATGCCAACATTCGGCAGAGAACTGGGCAACCATACCCCTCAGGCCTCCTGAGCTTCTCCCATCTCTCCACCCGTACCTCAGGGCCATCCCTGTACCTTGAAGATATCTTATAAAATCCTCTCTTGTGTGCCATGCTCTCTCTATCCTCATGTCTCTGCACCAGTTGGGACATTTACCTGATACCCACTTTCTAAAGCTGTTGCCAGGCTAATGCCTGATAAGCTTCAGCTCCCTGTAGGCATGTTAGCTTGGGAGTCCCTGCCTCATTCAGGCTCATCCCCCTCTACTGTACTTTCTGGCTTTCTGCCTGTCACCCTGAATGTGAGCCCAACAAAAATGTGAACTTGTATATGTCTCTTTCAAAACTTTACCCTGAGAGAGAAAAAAGCAGCAATGTGAGCTAACAATGTGAGCTGCCCACTCTCTCTCAGCTGACCTTGCTTGCTCAAAGCTGGCCTGGCACAGCTCAGACCTATGTGGTCCAGTTGAGCATAGATAGTTTAATGGGTCATCCACATAGACATCTGTCACCAGAATAGCTTAAAAACAGAGCCAGCCTGGAATCATGTCTCCACACACAAACTTGAACATTCACCAAACCAAAGACATGACCCAACAGCCCCATCCAGCTAATCTGAGTGGTGGCTGCTGATAGAGTCCCAACTTTGGCCTCCTTCTAGAGACCTCCCCACAGATAAGACTTGGTAAGATTCCCAGTGATAAAGTTGAGCCCTCTTCCTGACAGCATCCAATTCGGAGCCAAACCTGCCTCCTAGTCTCCCACAAGTCACCTAACACCTAGCACAGATCCTAAACCATTTCTTTCCCAACACTCTTACAGAATTACTCACTATCCTGCTCCACAAGCAGCATAAATTCATTCATGCATCACAGGTGAATGAACTCCACAGTGCCTGGATAAGGGCATGAAATTCACTGTGGAATAAACAGTATACCCATAGACCAAAGGTCTGTCAGTATCCTACAATGGGATTACAGGTGCACAGAGAAGATGCTGTGCCCCTTTACCTTCCCTCTTTCTTCATGGCTTCCAGGAAACTCCACAGAGGTGGAGCCTCTCTGAGGAATCAGGGGTGCAAGCAAAATTCTTAGCAATGAATTGCAAGGGACAATCACATTGCTCTGTTGTGAGGAGGTTTACCAAGGCACCAGAGGCAACAAACCTTGATAGGAATGTAGAATATCAGTCTCCAGCCCCAACCTGATGAATACAAATCTGCAGATGCACAAGGCACTCAGATATGCACAAGCAGCATTGCTGCTGGGAACATTTTGTTTTTGTAAAGCTGGTGGAGAATCAAACAACTTCCAACACTGCTCTTCCCTGCCCTGCCCCACCCCACATTCACTCACCAGTGACACCCACGGTGGACATGGGACCCACACGGTGGCCCTGGTGGAGTCCATACAGGTGCATCTTGTACTTGCGTCCAGGCTCCAGGTCCCCCACAGTGGCCTCTCTCTCCTCTCCTCCAACTCGTACCACTTGGGGCTGCCCATCCCTGTCCTTGTACTGGATGGTGAAGGAGTCAAACTGGCCCTGGGGCACAGTCCAGGAGAGGCTCAGGGAGTCAGGGGAGGAGCCTGTCACTGTCAGCTCCCCCAGGAGTGGCTCCTCAGTGGACTCTGGGGCCTCTGTGCTGGGTTCTGTGGGCCTGGGGGTCTCCTCCACTGCAGCTGAGAAGGTGAAAGAGAGAGGGTGAGGCAGGTTCCCTGGGAAGTATGTTCAGGTCTTGGGGAGAAGAAGGGAGGGGCCACAGCCACCACTGGGAGTACTGAGGTCAATTTAGACAAGCCCAAGTTCATCCTTGGAGCTGGGAGGCCCTGTTCAGCTGACAAGCATGCCCAAGCTCAAAATCAGCTGGGTGGAACTGGGGAAAGCTCCCAGCACAGCAGAAATCCCTATGGCCTTTCTTTTTCCAGAAGGAGACAGAGGTCAACCCCAGGGAAGGCAAAAAGGGGTCCATGGCCTCAGACAAGAGCAGGCCTGTGGTTACTGACCAAGCCTCTGCCACTGTTCTCTGCTCAGTTCCCTGACTAGCTCTCCCTGCCCCCACACATCACACTTGTCTCAAGGATGGGGTGGGAGGATTAGAGGCCTAGGGGCCTGGGGACCTGGATCTTCAGCAGAGGAAATACTGGAGACTCCATTTCCCCAAGAACCAACCTAGAGGCCCCTTGACCTTCACTCACCAGTCATACCCAGAGTAGACACGGGTCCCACACGGCGGCCCTGGTGGAGGCCATACAGGTGCATCTTGTACTTGCGTCCAGGCTCCAGGTCCCCCACAGTGGCCTCTCTCTCCTCTCCTCCAACTCTTACCACCTGGGGACGCCCATCCCTGTCCTTGTACTGGATGGTGAAGGAGTCAAACTGGCCTTGGGGCACAGTCCAGGAGAGGCTCAGGGAGTCAGGGGAGGAGCCTGCTACTGTCAGCTCCCCCAGGAGTGGCTCCTCAGTGGGCTCTGGGGCCTCCGTGCTGGGTTCTGTGGGGCTGGGGGCTGAAGGGAAAAGAGAGAAAGGGTGAGGCAGGCTTCTTGGGAAGTTTCCTCAGGTCTTGGGGAGAAGAAGGGAGGAGCCACAGCCACCACTGGGGGTACTGATCGGTTTAGATAAGCCCAAGTTCATTCTTGGGGCTGGGAGGCCCTGCTCAGTTGACAAGCATGCCCAAGCTTAAGATCAGCTGGGTGGAACTGTAGGCAGCTCCCAGCACAGCACAAATTCCTATGGCCCTTCCCTTTCCAGAAGGAGACAGAGGTCAACTCCTGGGGAGGCAAAAAGAGGCCATAGCCTTAGCAAGAGCAGGCCTGTGGTTACTGACCAAGCCTCTGCCACTGTTCCCTGCTCAGCTGTTACCCAAGAGTTAGAGTCAACCTCCCACTGGGTCCCACCCTGGGGCTCCCAGCATCCACTCACTTGTCACCCCAATGACAGAGACGGGGCCTATGCGCTGGCCACTGTGGAAGCCATACAGGTGCATCTTGTACTTGTGGTCTGGCTCCAGCCCTGAGATGGTGACCTCATCCTCATGCCCTGGCACCCGCACCACCTTGGGCTGCCCGTCCCCATTCTTGTACTGGACCAGGAAGTGGTCAAACTGTCCTTCAGGGACTGTCCAGGAGAGGCTCAGGGAGTCAGGGGTAGCATCTGTCACAGTCAGCTCCCCTAGGCGTGGCCTGAGAGGAGGCTCGGGGGTTGTGGTGGGTGTTACTTGCGTGGTCATTGCTTCATCCTCTGCAGAGGGACACACACACACATACAGGGACAGTGAGATCTCTTCTGCCCTCTCAGTTCAGAAGCCAAAGCAGCATTTACAACAAATAAAGCACCAAGGAGCAGAATGATGCTGGCCATGGCACCACTGACATGTCCCCTTCCTGCTCCTTCCACATCCCCGTTCCTAGCCCTCACCCACCATCTACTAACTGCCACCATCTATCAACACCCACATAACTTCTCCTCCCTCCAGCACCTGCCTCTTGAGAAGGACCCACTTGGTCACTGTACCATGGGCCTCCCTCCACTGGGGTCTCCTGGCTACCTCCTCATCCACCTGGCTCAGGTCTTTGCTCCCAAAGAACCTCAGAACACTCCTCCCAAGCCAGAAACTGGAGAGTGCCCTGAACCTGTCCCTCTCCCAGCTGCCATCAGACTTAGAGAGTGTTCCTCCCAGCCTCTTTCCTAATTCCTCCTTGCTGCCTCACTCCCCTTCCTCCAGTTGCAGGGCTCTAGAGTGGCACTGTCTCCTGTCACCAGGATTACTACCTCCCTACTGGCTTCTCTACCTCAAAGCTCACACCAGGTCTTGGCTGTTCCTGGTATTTGGGGACATGCTGGCTTAGGAGTCCTTGCCTGGTCCTGGCCTGTCCTCCAGGCTTCCCTATCACAAAATCATCTCCTTGCTGTGCTTTCTTGTTTATGGCCTGCCTCCCCACTGCTCCCCATTACTCAGGAATTTGTCAGTCTGCCATTTTCAAGGTCTCATCCAACCCCCTCAGGGCCTGGATCCTGCCACCCACAGGTTTGGTGATCTATTGGAGACGTAAGTCTGATGATACCTGAACCTTGAAGTTTTGGGGTATACAGTGAAGGAGATGCCCTGGGTACCTGCCCCCTTTCCTCATGGCCCCCTGTCAACTTCACTAGAGACCCAAGAGAAATCTCCACAAGATTCCTCTGAAAGAAATCAGGGCTGCAAGCAGAATTCTTAGCAAAAATTCCAAGAGAAGATTTTGAGGAATTTGCTACTCAAGGGCTGACCCAGGGACCTACAATGTCAGCATCAGGAGCACTGCTGTAGTCTGGATCTTGAATGCTCCCCAATGGCCCGCATATCAAAGAATTGGTCCTCAGGGTGGTGACACTAGAAGGTAGAACCTTTAAGAGATGGTCCCTGGCTGTGGGGTGTCCTCATGTCATCGGGTGTGCCCTTGAAGGGGATACTGGTGCCCCAGCCATTCCTTTCTCTGTTTTGCTTCCTGGCCATCAGGTAAGAGGTTTTGCACTGCCATTCTCTCCCACCATGATCTGCTGACCCACCTCAGAACTAAAAACAATGGGCCAACTGAATGTAGACTAGAACATCCAAAACTGTGAGCCAAAATAATCTTTTCTCTTTGTAACTTGATTATCTCTGGTACTTGTTGTAGTAGCAAAAATCTAACAAGTATCTTTTTTTTTTTTCCTTTCTGGAAATGGGGATGGATCCCAGGGGTGCTCTACCTTTTCGATATCTCCTGGCATTTTTAAAAAATATGTTTTTGATGTTGATGGACCTTTATTTTATTCATATATTTAGATCCAGTGCTGAAAAATCGAACCCATAGCCTCACACATGCTAAGCAAGTGCTCTACCACTGAGCCACAAGTCCAGCTCCTCTCTCAGCCTTTTCTGTTTTTTATCTTGAGATAGGGTCTGGATAAGGTGCCCAAGCTGGACTGGAACTTGTGATCCTCCTGCCTCAGTCTCCAAAACAGAATGGCTGGGATTAGAGACATGCACTATAGCACTCAGTTCTAATACAAGGACTTTGATAGAAATGCAGAATATCAGGCTCCATCACCAACCTGATGAATACAAATCTGCCTTTCAACAAGATGAACAGGCTTTAACTAGCGGCATTCCTGCAGGAACATTTTGTTTTTGTGAAGCTGGTGGAGAATCAAACAACTTCCAGCACTGCTCTTCCCTGCCCTGCCCCATCCTACACTCACTCACCAGTCACACCCACAGTGGACATGGGGCCCACACGGTGGCCCTGGTGGAGCCCATACAGGTGCATCTTGTACTTGCGTCCAGGCTCCAAGTCCTCAACAGTGGCTTCTCTCTCTTCTCCTCCAACATGTACCACCTGGGGCCGCCCATCCCTGTCTTTGTACTGGATGGTGAAGGAGTCAAAATGGCCCTGGGTCACAATCCATGAGAGGCTCAGGGAGTCAGGGGAGGAGCCTGTCACTGTCAGCTCCCCCAGGAGTGGCTCCTCGGTGGGTTCTGGGGCTTCCATGCTGGGTTCTGTGGGGCTGGGAGTCTCCTCCACAACCTTCCGTGGGGCTAAAAGAAGAGACAGAAGCAAAGGTGACTTACTTCACTAGTGTCATTGATACATATGGAGAAGTACATCCAGGAGATATGCTTCTCAAGTCAAAGGCTCAGAGGCTTGGGTAGCCTTTGGTATTAGCCATTCAGTCATTCATAGTTGGAGGGAGCTGAGCCAGCCCCCACGCCTATCCTGTCCTGTTGGCAGTGGTGCATGGTTACAAATTTTCAGAAAACAAATGGGACATAGGTGTCAGGAGCCAAAATAGTGCTCATTTCCTTTGACCCAATAATCCCATCCTGGGCATCTGTCCTAAGAAAATTATTAAAAGCAGGAAAAAGTTATAGCATAGAAGAATTCATAATGGGATTATTCATGGCAGCAAAATGTGTCAGGAAACCAAACGACCTGGAAAAGATGATTAATTTTGTTACAGAGCTTTCACCACAAAGCATCAAATAACCATTAAAATGATGATTAATAAAGGTTGTGTAGCTGCCAGGTAAATGATTACAATGTAACTGTGTACAAAAAATTAAAAGCCAAAATTTAAATGAATATTCTTGACTGCAACTTCAAAACACATACTTGTATGCAAAATGCAGAAAGGGAATATGCGTTATACACATAGTTTTTGGTTTGTTTGGAGGGGGGCTCATGCATGCTAGGCAAATGCTCACACTGTTATTTACAGCAGTTATTGGGTCAAAGGTAGGATTATGAGTTTTTTCCTATTTTTCCATAATGCTGCTACAGTTCTTTTCACTATAAAAATGTAGATTTAGAAAGAAATTCTGCTTGAGTATGGTAACGCATGCCTATAACCCCAGCAACTAGGGAGGATGACGCAGGAGGATGGCAAATTGGAGGGTGACCTTAACAACTTAGGAAGACCCTGTCTCAGAATGAAAACTAAAAAGGTCTGGGGATGTAGCTCAGTGGTAAAGTACCCTGGATTCAAAAGAAAAAAAAATTAAAAGAGAAATTTTGTATTATAAAAAGTAATAATTGAGGGCTGAGGTTGTGGCTCAGTGGTAGAGCACTTGCCTTGAATGTGTGAGGCACTGGGTTCAATTCTCAGCACCACATAAATAAAACACAAAGGTCCATCAACAACTAAAATAAATAAATAAATAAAAATTTAAAGAAATAATAATTGAGAAGGGGGTGGGATTGAAGAGCAATGCAGATAGAACAGGAAGGCAGGGGACATGGACCCCTTACACTGCCCCCTCTTCCTAGGGAATGCTGTGATTTGCCAGGATAGGAGATAAGAAAATACACAACTGATGGTGCATGAGAATTAACAGCTTAGTGCAAATTTTTCTGATGTTCATTTTCCAATGACTCCTCTGTTCTCCTTGTCCTCCCATTCCACACACAGATGATTTGCTGAATACACGTATAAGAACAAGGCCTGTCCCCATGGGCAGGGAGCCTGAGGAAGAACAGTTCCTCCATCTAGATGATCACCAGGACATGACAGTACCTGTCCCAAACCACAGTCCTAGGGCAAAGAGGCAGCCACCTGCCCTCCACAAGATGACTCTCAGAGGGTGGGGCCTTCCAGATCTGGGAAACTCTTAAGAAATTATCTGAGGCAGCCATCAGAATCTGGCTGAGAATGACTTGGAAAAGGCAGCCTGATGCCCTGTGGGATTCCAATTCACCTTGTGATTTGTTCCTCACTTTCTTGTGGACTGAATTTAACTTTGTCATAATTAGAAATGAAGTAAGTTTCCAGAGTGACAGGGAAGAAGACAGACGGAATACAAAAAGAAGACATTGTAATTCTCTGCTTTTTTCTGATTATAAAAAAAAATGCCTAGAGAAAGAAAAAAGAAATGCCCTCATTTAAGAAAATTTGGACAATGCAGAAAAGAATAAAATAGAAAAATAAAACATGCTGGAACACTCCATTCTGTCTAACAAATCATATACCCGTGGGATGTATTTCTTCCCAGTCTTCTTGCCATGCCTGCTATTTTCAAATAGCTGTGATTAGCATCTTTACAAAAATTTGGGCCTCTGTGTTTTCAATGGAACATAATAAAGTCATTGTTTTATGTAAAACATTTTCAATGGCAGTATAATAGCTCATTTTAAAGCTATTCACTAAGTTATTCAGTCATCCCAATATGGCTTGATGTTGGGTTGTTTCTTTTGTGTGTGTGTGTGTGTGTGTGTGTAGTTATAATAAAGAATCCCATAATTACGATGGAAAGAAAAGAAAATTCTGGTAAATCCAGCTTGGCCTGTGCCTGACATATATCACTGTTGGAGGTGGCAAAGGTTGCCTGTCAGAGAGAGTCCACAACAAAGTGAAAATGGCTGAAAGTGAGCAAAAGTCAAACAAATAGGTATAGGCCATGGACAAGGATAATGGAGGAAGGACATGAGAGGGTGGCCAAGGCCCGGGCCCACAGGAGTTGTTGAAAAAATCCAACAGTCAAACAGATATCCACAGGGAAAGAAAGATAACCTCTCAGTCCCTTCCTCACTTACCGGTCATTCCCAAAGTAGACACGGGGCCCACACGGCGGCCCTGGTGGAGTCCATACAGGTGCATCTTGTACTTGCGTCCAGGCTCCAGGTCCCCCACAGTGGCCTCTCTCTCCTCTCCTCCAACACGCACCACCTGGGGCCGCCCATCCCTGCCCTTGTACTGGATGGTGAAAGAGTCAAAGTGGCCCTGGGGCACAGTCCAGGAGAGGCTCAGAGAGTCAGGGGAGGCCTCGCCTGTCACTGTTAGCTCCCCCAGGAGTGGCTCCTCAGTGGGCTCTGGGGCCTCCGTGCTGGGTTCTGTGGGCCTGGGGGTCTCCTCCACCTCTGTGGGGCTGGGGGTCTCCTCCACTGCAGCTGAGAAGGAGAAAGAGAGAGGGTGAGGCAGACTTCCTGGGAAGTGTCTCAGATCTTGGGGAGAAGAAGGGAGGAGCCACAGCCACCACTGGGGGTACTGAGGTCAGTTTAGATAAGCCCAAGTTCATCCTTGGGGCTGAGAGGCCCTGCTCAGCTGACAAGCATGCCCAAACTCAAGGGCAGCTGGATGGAACTGGGGGCAGCTCCCAGCACAGCACAAGTTCCTATGGCCCTTCCCTTTCCAGAAGGAGACAGGTCAACCCCAGGGGAGACACAAAGGGGGCCATAGCCTCAGCCAAGAGCAGGCCTGTGGTTACTGACCAAGCCTCTGCCACTGTTCCCTGCTCAGCTGTTACCCAAGAGTTAGAGTCAACCTCCCACTGGGTCCCACCCTGGGGCTCCCAGCATCCACTCACTTGTCACCCCAATGACAGAGACGGGGCCTGTGCGCTGGCCACTGTGGAAGCCATACAGGTGCATCTTGTACTTGTGGTCTGGCTCCAGCCCTGAGATGGTGACCTCGTCCTCATGCCCTGGCACTCGCACTACCTTGGGCTGCCCGTCCCCATTTTTGTACTGGACCAGGAAGTGGTCAAACTGTCCTTCAGGGATTGTCCAGGAGAGGCTCAGGGAGTCAGGGGTGGCCTCTGTCACGGTCAGCTCCCCCAGGCGTGGCTTGATAGAAGGCTCAGGGGTTGTGGTTGGTGGTTCTGTCAGAGTTGCGCTAAGTATTTCATCCTTTTCTGGGTCTGCATCATGAGAAAAAAAATCGGTGGACATATTTGGTAGGGTTCCTTCTAGCCAAGGGATTTTAGGATTTCTCTTAGAAGGGTTATACAGGTCCTCTGGTTTGAATATTCAGTTACCAGGGAGAAAGCACAGACTTGTGCAAAGTTGCAATGCAGTCCCTTAGGAGTTGCCAAATCCCATCTGTTTAGTGTGTTAGATACAACATTTTATGACAAAACCCAACATTACAGGAAAGTTATATTGGGAGCTACATCCTCTTGGGATTGGGACTCTTATTTTACAAGTACTTTCCTTTAATGTCCCTTCTGGTTTACAATATTTTCCCAAGCATTTTTAGAAGCCAATTTTGATTTCACAACTGAGGGTAAGGAGATGAGAGACTGAGGTCATTTTTGCAATCAGGTATTTTCTAGACCTTAACAGGGGTTCTGCTAACTTAGGACAAAGATTCCACTCCACTGAGACCAGCTCTTTGGGCCTCTGTGAAATCATGTGCTTTGTTTTTATTAACCTTTTCTGTTCTTATAGGGTTTCATCTGCCTTGAGAATTGAATCACAAAATTACCATGTTCATTTGTTCTGTTTGGGAAAGCATCTTATACCTCGGGGGTAGCAGCGACATAAGGCCTAATAAAAGCATCAGTGGCCATGTTACAGAGTGACTGGTGAAAGGAAAACGCCTTGTTAAGTTGCACACATGACTAATATTAAATAGTAAAACAATGTACAGGATTCATTGTTGGTTCAGCATAAGTGGTATCAATTTGGGGGCTTAGGAAACATCTATAATTTTTCCTACTGAAATCGATGATAATAGGTTTGTCCTAAGGAGTTTTTTAAAAAATATTTTTTAGTTGTTTAATTGTAGATGGACACATACCTTATCTTATTTTTGTTTATTTTCTTATGTGGTGCTGAAGATCAAACCCAGTGCCTCACATATGCTAGACAGCACTCTATCACTGAGCCACAACTCTAGCCTCTGTCCTAAGGAGTCTTTAAGAACGAATTACCTTCAAGGGGAAGTGGTTACCTTTCACACTGTGTGAGCCCAGTCATACCCCACCCACCCTTTAAGATGTGTGGCTATTCCTTCTTTGAAGAGGAGAGGGAAGCCCAGAGAGGCTGAGTGATTCTTTTGAGGTTGAATGGGCTGAGGTTAAGGTCAACCCAGGCTGTGCCTGAATCCGTTCTTTCCCTGGTATCTTGCCTCTTCAAGGACCCAAAATACCCCTGTGTAGAGGATAAGAGAGCTGAGGCAACATCAAAGGTTTGGAGTGAAGACAAGAGCGGAACCAATCCTAGAAGCTCAGGAGGCTCAGTCTCAGGGAGTAAAATAAAAACACCCAAGCAGAGCATGGTAAGACATACCTGAAATCCCAGCAACTCAGGAGGCTGAGGCCCTAAGCAACTTAGCAATACCCTTTCTCTAAGTAAAAAGATGAAATGGACTAGGGTTTTAGTCCATTAGTAAGGTTCCCTGAGGTTCATCTCTAGTATAAAAATAACAACAACAACCGGGTGTGGTGGCACACGCTTGAAATCCCAGTGACTCAGAAGGCTGAGGCAGTAGGATCACAAGTTCAAAACCAGTCTCAGCAACTTAGTAAGGCCCTCAGCAACTTACTGAGACCCTGTCTCTAAATAAAATTCAAGAAGGGATGGTGATGTGGATCAGTGGCTAAGTGCCCCTGGGTTCAATCCCACATACAAAAAAAAAAAAAAAAATACCCCAAATCAAACCAAAACAACAACAACAAAACAAAAATACTAACAGTAAAAGGAAAACTGGATCCAACCTGGGGCAGGGCCCAGTATCTTTCTATCCACTCACCAGTTGAACCGACAGCAGAGACAGGGCCCATGCGCTGGTTACCGTGGAAGCCATACAGGTGCATCTTGTATTTATGGTCTGGCTCTAGGCCTGAAATGGTTACACTATCTATGTGCCCTGGCACCCGCACAGCCTTGGGCTGCCCATCCCCATTCTTATACTGGAGCAGGAAGTGGTCAAATTGTCCCTCAGGGACTGTCCAGGAGAGGCTCAGGGTGTCGGAAGTGGCATCTGTCACGGTCAGCTCCTCCAAGCGTGGCTTCAGAGGAGGGGCATCAGAAGGCTCCTCTTCAGGGGCTAGAGATATAAACAGAATATTTCTTGTTGCTGGAAGGAGGTGTTGAAGTCCCAGCTTTCTTGGATCCAGGTCAGAAGGTGGACTAGCTCTGGCCTTAGAATCTATTTCTGATTATGATCACCAAAGTCTTTCTGTGGTCTCCTTACAGTCCACAAACATGCCAGGCAGCCTCCTACATCAGGGCCTTTGCATGAGTGTTCACTTCTCCTGAAGACTTTCTCCAGATGTATGAATGGCTCATGTCTATTCTTTCTTTAAATCTTTGCTCAAATATCACCTCCTATTGGAGGCCTTTCTTGACTATTCTAATCAAAATTCCAATTCTTTTGATTTCTTTTTTTTTAATATTTATTTTTTAGTTATAGGTGGACACAATATCTTTATTTTGTTTCTATGTGGTGCTGGGGATCGAACCCAGTGCCTCACGCGCATGGTAGGTGAGCGCTCTACCTCTGAGCCACAGCCCCAACCCAATTCTTTTGATTTCAATGATTTTCCTTATTTGGACCTGGCTCTAGCAATAAATTGCAAAACAACAGTTATGAGATCTGGATAACTGACCATAGTAAGAAATGATTGTTACGATTTTTAAAAGTATGGTAATTGCATTGTGGATATTTTTAAAAAATAGCCTATTTGTGTGTTTATTTCCTTTTGCTGTGCCAGGGATTGAACCCAGATCCTTGCACATGCTAGGCTACCACTCAACCACTGAGCTATAGCACCAGCCTATAAAAATAGCCTTTTTAAAAAGAAAGATATGTTTACATATTTATTAAAAATATAGTGTGTCCAAGATTAGTTTTAAAATACTGCAGTGAATAAACCTCAAAAACATCATGCTCAATGAAAGTCAAACTGTCCCTGGGACACAGTGAAAGAAGTCAGACCCCCCAAAACATGAATTATATAATTATATTTGTATAATTCTAGAAAAGGCAAATCTCCTGAGTCATATAGATAAGTGGGGAAGGAGGGATGGGGATAGGAACGCATCTGAAGTTAAAATTTCTTTTTGGGATGGTGAAAAAGTTTTGAAAATAGACAGTGGTGATGGTTGCAAACTAGGTAAATGTACCAAAATGGATAAGCTGCACCCTTAAAACAGGTGAATTTTATGGCACATAAATTTTATAGTGAAAAAAATCACTAATAAAGAACATTCTAGTAGGAGAGGGTGGGAAGGGGCGGGGCAAAAATTAACCAGACTGGCCAGGAGTTGACATTTAATTGAAGCAGGGTGACAAATATACCAGTGGTCATCATATTATTCTTTCTCATTGCATATATGATTGAAATTTTGCTTCATCATGATGTGTTAAAGGAATAAATTAATATTTCATGGAATTTGTCCCAATCATACAAAAAGAAATTTCTCTAGAATTTTCTCTGAGGGAAAGGAGAGAGCCACAAACTGGCTGTGAATCACTGTCTTAGAGGCCTCAGTCTCCAAGGCTCTCACCCAGATAGGTCTGACTAGCTCTCCCTGCCCCCAGATCACACCTGTCTTAAGGCACTACAGGATGGGGTGGGGGGATTAGAGGCCTAGGGGCTCTGGGGACCTGGGTCTTTAGCAGAGGATACACTGGAGACTCAACTTCCCTGAGATCAACCTAAAGACCCCTTGACCTTCACTTACCAGTCACACCCAGAGTAGACACGGGGCCCACACGGCGGCCCTGCTGGAGTCCATACAGGTGCATCTTGTACTTGCGTCCAGGCTCCAGGTCCCCCACAGTGGCCTCTCTCTCCTCTCCTCCAACACGCACCACCTGGGGCCGCCCATCCCTGTCCTTGTATTGGATGGTGAAGGAGTCAAACTGGCCCTGGGGCACAGTCCAGGAGAGGCTCAGAGAGTCAGGGGAGGAGCCTGTCACTGTCAGCTCCCCAAGGAGTGGCTCTTCAGTGGGCTCTGGGGCCTCTGTGCTGGGTTCTGTGGGGCTGGGGGTCTCCTCCACTGCAGCTGAGAAGGTGAAAGAGAGAGAGTGAGGCAGGTTCCCTGGGAAGTGTGCTCAGGTCTTGGGGAGAAGAAGGGAGGAGCCACAGCCACCACTAGGGGTACCGAGGTCAGTTTAGACAAGCCCAAGTTCATCCTTGGGGCTGAGAGGCCCTGCTCAGCTGACAAGCATGCCTAAACAAGCTCAAGGGCAGCTAGATGGAACTGGGAGCAGCTCCCAGCACAGCACAAGTTCCTATGGCCCTTCCCTTTCCAGAAGAAGACAGAGGTCAACCCCAGGGAAGGCATAAAGGGGGCCATAGCCTCAGCCAAGAACAAGTCTGTGGTTACTGACCAAGCCTCTGCCACTGTTCCCTGCTCAGCTGTTACCCAAGAGTTAGAGTCAACCTCCCACTGGGTCCCACCCTGAGGCTCCCAGTATCCACTCACTTGTCACCCCAATGACAGAGACGGGGCCTGTGCGCTGGCCACTATGGAAGCCATACAGGTGCATCTTGTACTTGTGGTCTGGCTCCAGCCCTGAGATGGTGACCTCGTCCTCATGCCCTGGCACCCGCACCACCTTGGGCTGCCCATCCCCATTCTTGTACTGGACCAGGAAGTGGTCAAACTGTCCTTCAGGGACTGTCCAGGAGAGGCTCAGGGAGTCAGGGGTGGCATCTGTCACAGTCAGCTCCCCTAGGCGTGGCCTGAGTGGAGGCTCAGGGGTCATGGTGGGTACTTCTGATGGCTCATTCTCTTCCTCCTGAGGCACTGAATATGAAGAGAGAGAAGGCTTGAAAGAGAGGCTATGTTTGCAGGGCCTTTACTCTCCTTCGGACCCCCTAGTCATTTGGAAGGGAGCAGAGTGGCAGAGTTCCTCTCACTCACCTGTCAGGGCTTCTATGTGGGCAGAATCCACACGCTGACCATCATGGAAGCCATATAGGGTCACCAGATATCTGTGATTTGATTCCAGACCAGTGAGGGTAACATCACTCTGGTCTCCCCCAGTACTGACCACTTGGAGTTGACCATCTCTATCTTCATACTGGACCTCAAAGGAGTCGAATTCTCCATTGGTCACCATCCAGGAGAGATGCAGGCTGTGAGGAGTGGCCTCCTCCACCATTAGTTCCCCCAGGTGGGGCTCAACTGTCGGAGGGCTTGGGGTGGGGATATCACCTTCAATTTTTTCCCTAGGGGCTGGTTCAGAGAGACAGGGAGAGATGGGTGACTGGTCTGCCACTGAACAAATCTCTCAAGAGGAGGTGGGAAAGAAGGAGATAAGGGCAAGAGATCAGCAATGAAAGAGTCAACTTTTCATACATGTAGCTGAATTTCAAAAACTTTATGCAAGTACGAGAATCCAAACCCAAGACAACATATATTGTATGATGCTGTTAAAACAAAATGCAAAAAAGGCAAAACTAAAATGATAGAAAGTAGATCAATGGATGCCAAGGGTTGGGAGTGAGGTCGTTGGCTGCAAAGGGGTACAAGGAAATTTGGGTAGATGCCAATGCTTTATATTTCCCTTGTGGCAATGGTTTCGTGACTTACACATTCACCAAAACTCAATGATACTGTGTAATCACAGTACCATTGTGATGATTTAATGATGCCTTTAAATACTGAGGCATTCTTTCCCCAAAAGAAGGGAAACAGAAAGCTGAGCGACCTTATGGCTCAGTGAGACCAGGAGAGCCAGGAGGAAAAGAAACACAGGGTGTTCTGGTCACCACACACTTACCAGTCATGGCAATGGCAGAAAGGGGACCCACACGCTTGCTGTTGTGCAGCCCATAGAGCAGCAGCTTGTACCTGCGGTCAGGGTCCAGGCCTGAGACATTGACCTCCCTGAGGCTGCCGTCCACAGGCACCACCTGGGGCTGCCCATCCCTGTCTTTGTACTGGACCACAAAGGAGTCAAATTGCCCCTCAGGGACTGTCCATGAGAGGCCCACAGAGTCAGAGGTCACGCCAGTCACTTGCAGTTCCTCCCCTAGTTGGGGTTTTATTCCAGTATGGTCCACAGAACTCGGGCTCACTGAGATGGAGAAATGGAGAAGAAATGGCTAATGTGTTTCTGGAAAGCTGGTGACCTCAAAGGGAAGGATGGCGAGATCTGGAGACAGGGCTTTGTAAAGGACTTGTGCTACAGGCTCATGCAAGGGCATAGGGGAGCTAGATCTGAGACCAAGTGGTTGGGATCTAATAATGGTAATGGCAGCTATCCAAGTGACTGCCTGCTGCCCCAGGGCCTTAAAGGATCAGGCTCTGCAGGGGATTCCCCTCACCTGTGGTGGCATCAGCAGTGAGGGGGCCAAGGCGCTTCTTGCCTAGGAGGCCATAGAGAAGGAATCTGTACTTGCGTCCAGCGTCCAGAGAGGTGATGGTGGCTGAGCGCTCATGGCCCTCCACAGGCACCACCTGGGGCCCATCCTTGTTCTTGTACTGGACCACAAAAGAGTCAAAGTGGCCCTCGGGGACTGTCCAGGAGAGGCGCAGTGACTCTGGGGTGGTATCCGTCACCCATAGCTCCCCAAGGCGAGGTAGAGCCCCTGGGCTGGCATCACTTCGGGCAGCTAACAGGGAGGAAAAGTTCCTGTGATTATTTTTTTCTGAAATGATTCTTTGACTGTCTCCGGCTATGGCTGGAAAACCCCAGAACTGCCCAAGTAGTCAGTGCTTCCCTCAGAGTATTTCCATCAGCCTCCATCCTTGCCACCATCTCTAACTGGCCTGAGCTTCTCTTTACTAGACCAACGTGGGAAGAGTCTTCTGCCCTGTGTTATTCCTGGAAAGAAATTCCCTAGTTCCCCTCTCCATCTTACCCTTTCTGCTGTCTAGACTCTTCCCATCTCTGAGAGACTATTTCCCCAGCAGGGGGCATCTTATCATGGACTTGGTCTCTATTTCCTTTGACCCAGGAGCCCACACTTTGTGATCTGACTGGCCCCTGAGGAAATCCAAGTGGGGCACAGGTTCCCTAATGGGGGCAGACAGCAGTGGGGGAAGAAAAATGTTATGACAGGGGTGGTCCTTGCAACGTCTCTGTTCCCTTTCTTATTCTGCACCAGCTGGACTCAAGAGCACTGAGAATCCCATAGGGCCTAGAGGAATGGGGGGTTGTCTGTGCCTGGGGGTATTGCAGGAATTGAAGGGTAAAGTGGGAGAACTGAGATGGGGAAAGCATCTGATGTCTGCCAAAGGAGCCATTCAGGGGCCTGGGAAGGAGCTGGCCTGTTGCCTTCCTGGACGGCAAAGACGCTGACGGCATTGTTATTGCGAGAGGTTTCTGGCAATAGGAAGCCCCAGGGGCAGAGAAGGGCTGGACTGAACCCCAAAATAGGGCACATTTGGGTTGGACTCCTCTGGTTCCCAGTTCCCAAGGCTTCAGGAGGACAGAGGAGGAAGAAAATCCTTTATGGGAGGCAGATGAGGGGCCAGATGGGTGAGGGGGGTGAGAGTTGGAGGGAAAGGGTGAAACTCTCAAGATGTGAGAAACCCACAAGGCCTAGGGAGGAAGGATGGTGACCACTACCCTTCTCCCAGCAGCTCCAGTCTCCCATAGTCCATCTTCCAGGAAGGGGCTTCCCCCATTCAACAGAAACAGAAATGTTGAAAAGAGAGGAAAGACCAGCAGGAGGTAATTGGACCCAAGAACTGGTCCTTGTCTGCTTTGGACTGGGGCAGGCAGTATAAATTTTTAAACCAAACAGAAGCAGGCGGGAAGGCTGAGGCCCAAGGCCTGGCTGCACGGGGGACCCTCTCACCTGTTTTTGCCTCAACAGAGACTGGGCTGCGTCGTTTCCCATCCTGGATCCCAAAAAGCAGGAACTTATACTTGCGGGAGGGCTCCAGGCCAGGGATGGTAACCTCCCGTTGGTCTGCAGTCACTGGCACCACCTGGGGTTGCCCATTCCTGTCCTTATACTGGACCATGAAGGCGTCAAATTTGCCTTCAGGAACTGTCCACAAGAGGCCCACGGAGTCAGGGGTCACATCTGTGACTGTCAGCTCTCCCAGGCGTGGCTCCAGGGGGCGGTCAGGGGTTTCAGTGGCCTGGGTGGGTGGGAAGGGATCTAGAATCCAAAAGACACAGAACATGCCTGTTCTACAAAGGGGAGAAATCCTGGGCTCTGCTGGTTCCAAGGGAATCAAGCACTAAAATGGGGAACAGTTATAGTCCCTTCAATGATCAAGATAGGAAGCCAAATATTGTAGAATTAACAATACTTAAAAAAAAAAAAAACAATACTTGTGAGGTTGCCATCAAGAGAAAGCTGAGATGCTTTCACATCACCTTAGAGCTACTTCAGAAGCTTCAAAATTTTGCTTACATTCATCGCTACTTCTAAGTGTGGTAGTTTACTAAACATGCCACAAAGACTTGCTATTTAATGAACTAATGAAGAAGTCCGGGTATTACCAAATCACAAATGTGAGTTTTTAAGAAATATTTTGGTAACTGTATATTTATCCCACAGAATCAAAAGAGGTTTGTTTCTAAGACCCTCCAGAGCTAATAAAATCCAAGGATGCTCAAGTCCCTTATATAAAATGGTGTAGTATTTACATATAATCTATGAACATCATCTCCAAATATAGTCCAACACACTACTTATGTAGTTGTCCCACTGCACCCAGTCAGGACAAGCACATTTAAAAAAAATACTTAGTGCCAAATGTGATGATATACCCCTGTAATACCAGCGACTGGGGAGTCTGAGATTGGAGAATTCCAAGTTTGAGACCAGCCTTAGTAATTTAGTGAGCCCCTAAGCAACTTAGTGAGACCCTAATTCACAATGAAAAATAAAAGGGTTCATGCCCCTGGGTTCAGTCCCTGGTATAAAAACAACAACAAGCCTTCAGATCCATAGTTGGTTGTGAAACCTGCAGACACAGAAGACATGCTGTATGTCAATATAATTGGTGTCCTTTTTAATCCTATACATTCTATTTTCTAGATTTTAAAACAATGCTCAGAGAAGGGATAGGGATTTCACCATGTGCCTTGGCACAAAAATTGTGGCAAAACTATGCCCAGGAAGCCATGAGGGGCAGGAGGGTCCAAGGGAGAGGGCAGCCTGTGGAAGGATGAGACTAGCATGGATCAGCAGGAAATACAACTCAGGCCAGATGGCTGGATCTCTGAGAAGATATTCAGGTATGTGTGTCATTTAACCCCAATAAAAACAGGCAGAAGAAGGCCAGGTGCGATAGGATTCCTGTAATGCCAGCTACTTGGGAAGCTAAAGCAGAAGGGTCCCAACTTGGAGGTCAGCCTCAGCAACTTAGCAAGACTCTGTCTCAAAAAATAAAAAGAGCTGGACTGGGGATGTAGCTCAGTGGTAGAGCATTTGCCTACCATGTGTGAGGCCCTGGGTTCTATCCTTAGTACCATACACATTAAAAAAAGAAAAGAAAGGAAAAAAAAGTGGGGGAAGAGGGGGGAGGTGGCAGCCGCATCCAAGTCACAGGGTTGTAAAAGAGATGGGGAGGAAACAGCTGTGGACAATCAGAGAGGGTGGAAAAGAGAGAGAGAGAGACTGGATTTAGGCCAAATGGAAGGATGACATCATTCTGGCCTGGTGAGAGCTGGAGATGGGGAAGGCACTGAAGGGTGGGAAAGTTCTAGCTCCAGGGAGAGGCTAAGGGGTCGGAGAACAGACTAAGATGTCTGGGAGACTGGAAAGGGACCTACAGAGTCACTGAGGCACAGCTTGAGGGGCCTAACTCCTCAGTGAGGGATGGTGGCTAGGAGAAGGGTCTTAGGGGGCAGCTCTGGATAACAGGAATGAGAACTGCCTCACTCCCACTTACTCACCCATCACAAAGCTATCACAGAGATAGGGGGGCCATGTGTTCCTTGCCATGTAACCCACAGTAGTTCATCTTGTATTTTCCTGTAGGCTCTAGGTTGGGGATGGTGACCTTAAGCTGGTCTGCAGCCACAAGGACCTTCTGGGGTTGCCCATCCCTGTCCTTGTATTGAACCATAAAGGAGTAAAACTGGCCTTCAGGGACAGTCCAGGAGAGGAATTGGGGGCCACATCTGTCACTGTTAATTCCCCCAAGGCATGGTTCCAGGGGGTTTTGGTAGTTTCAGGGGTTGGTTCTTCTGGTTATGGGGCTGGGATAGAGTTGGCAGGGGACTGTTAGGAAAGGATCTTTCTGTTGCTTTTGCGCACCCATGGGGTAGTTTTGATGTAAAACTGCATTGATTAGCAACATCTCTCTGGCCAACTATCCTTCACTAAGTCCCTGCCAGATGTCTGAGATTGTGCTTGCTGGGGGAGGGGGAGCAATTGTCATCAAGATTGGAAAAATGGCTAAAATCCCATCAGTAGGTCAGTGACAAAATTTATATCCTGTCAGATACTTCCTCTATCCCCCAGAGTCATGTCTATTCAACATCTTCCTTGGATATATCGTTGATCTCAAATGCAACAAGTCAAAACCAAGTTCCTGAGCTTCCTCTGACACCTGTGCCCTCTGCAGCCTTCCCACCTCAGTCAAACAACAACCTTGTTCTTCTAGCTGCTCTGGTCAAAATCTATGGTGTCATCCCCATGTTCTTTCTTACCTCCCACATTGTCCCAAGGGTAAGTCCTGTTTTCACTTTCTTAAGGATCTGGCTCCTCCTTACCTCCACCACCATCATCTCCAAGCACCATGGGCTCTTACTGGGTCATCACGACAGTCTCCTCATCACCTCTTTCCTTCAGCCCTAACCGCCTTTGATCTGCTGGATCTACAGCCAGAGGGGTCCTGTTACTACATTAGAGACCATCTCACAGTGGCTTCCTGCTTACTTAAAGTAAAAGCCAACTTCTTAAAATGGCTCCCAACTACCTATGTGTTCATGTCTCATGTAGTTCCCTGCTGCCTGCCTTCCCCTGACTCTATCCAAATCATGCTGAGCTCCCTGCTGGTTCAGACATTTGGGGCCTCTTGCCACCTGCCAGTCTCTGCATTTGTTTTTCCCTCTGTCTGGAACACATTTTCCCAAAGATCAATGTGGCATTCTCTCCCCTCCTTCAGATCCTTCCTTAGATACTGTGTAGCAAGGTCCTTACCACCTTTACCTACTGGCTTTGCTTTCCCCCACAGATTTTGTCCCCATAACAAATGGCACCACTGACATTATTTGTCCAAGTGGTTTCCTGTTCTCCTCTTCTAGACTGTGAGCTCCACAGGCAGCAGTTTTGAATTGTTCACACTGCTGTGTCCCAGTGCCCAACACACAGAGGGTCCCCCAGCAAATGCTTGTTAAATACACGAGTGGTGTGCTGGTCTGGGATAGAAAGACTGAGTTCAGAACCTGCCTATCCCCAGTGCTCCAGAGAAAGCCGAGTCTGGCAGAGAGGTATTTCATTAGTGACCAAACTGGAAGGTGGTCCCAAGAGGCAAACTGGTGGAGAGAGTGGCTGGCTGGGTGGGACTCCCAAGAGCCTGTTTCTCTGACTTCCATGGGAGGATAAGACTACACTCCAGACAAGTGAAATCTGCTTAAAATGGACCAGGACCCAGGCTTCAGGCAGACAAAAGTGAGTGTGGGTGAGAAGGGCAGGAACAGAGGTAGCTGAAGGGGGTGAGGGGACCAGAGCAATCAGCATATATTAAACATCTTCCTTGTACAGTTACCAGGCCTGGCATTTTCTTTCGTTTCACTTGCCTTTTGACCTTATTGGTTCCTGTAAAATCCGTTTCCTGCTTGTTTCTGCCTTCTCTGTACTTCTTTCCATCAGGGAAGAAATTGACCCTCATCATCAAGCCTGATTGTTAATAATTCGGCTTAACTGGAAAAGGTGACATTATAACTATTCATGTATATGACAGTCTCCACGCTGCATCAAGGATAGTCTTTTGCCAGATTAGAAGTGTTTCTAACTAGCTCCATGCAGTGCTTCTCCTGGCAACGGTACAGCACATGCTGTGTGCCAGGCACAGCCCTCAGCCTACTCAGCAGGCTCCAGCTGCTTCAGCTCCTTGCTGCCCTGATGGTAAACATTCTGTCCCATTCTCTTTTTAAAGGGCCACTTCTATTTTATACAAACATGTAAAGTACATGTTTTAAAATATCTAGCATCTGCTGGGCGCCATGGCGCATACCTGTAATCCTAGCAGCTTTAGGAGGCTGAAGCAGGAGGATCACAAGTTCACAGCCAGTCTCAGCAACTTAAGAGAGGTTTTAAGCAACTTGGTGAAACCCTATTTCCTGGGTTCAATCCCCAATTCCAGAAAAGAAAAAAAATTCTAGCATTAGAACACGGACATACAGTGATCTTTCTATAGAAGGGTCTGAGAAAAAGTCAAATGAGCTGAGAAATCAGCATCCCTCACACTTACAACAAGGTGGACCATGTTTCTCCATCTTGAAGATGAGGAAGCTGAGGTTCCAGGAGAGGAGGTAAATTTCATAAGATCAAGCCAAGAATGGGAAAGCCAAGAATGGAAATGGGTTTATCAGATTTCAAAACTCAATCTTCCTCTATTGCACCACTTTAGTCACTACCTGAAAGGGCTCACCCTTACCCCACAGACCAAGGACAAGGCCACACAAAGCCTAGTGTGGCTACCTGGGACAGAGGGACAGGCCAACAGTCACCCCAGGAGAGACCTTGGCAGCAGGCTCTGGGCATGGCACAATCCTCTATTTCACTACATCAGGTGATGAGGAGGGTAAATTGATGAGGAGGTTCTTCCTCTTCAGAGGCAAAGAAAAGAATTTGGGAGTAGAAGGCTCTGGAAACTAAATAATCCAAGTAATTATGAAGTTGAACTTTGTGCAAGTACAGAAACCATGTTCTAGAAACCTATTTGTTTCTCTGTCTTTTAAGTTTTTAATATTTTCTCTTATAGCAAAAGCTGTTTTTAAAACATTTGTGCCTATGTTTCAGTAATCAAAGGGAAAAAGAGACATCCTTCACTGTGACCAAGCTGGGCAGGTCAGCAGAAGGGTCCCAGAGGCATCCTCAGCCTTGTTGGATGAGGCTCTGCAGACAAAGTGCCCAGGATAGGTCCTTATGCTGGCCAATGTGGCCCCATAATTGGCCTGAGACAAAGGGTGGGAGAAATATTCTTTTTTGCTGTAAAGTCACTTGCTGGATGATCATTAAAGAAAGTTTTGAGGGCTGGGGTCGTGGCTCAGTGGTAGAGCACTCACTTTGCATATGTGAGGCACTGGGTTTGATTCTCAGCACCACATATAAATTAATTAATTAAAGGTCCATCGATAACTAAAAATATATTTCAAAAAAAGAAAAATTTTGAGTGGCGCTAATGAATAGCCCACTGTCTGACACACATTATTACCAATTAAGTAGCTGACCCAGCCATGGGAACAAAGCAGATCCCAGAGTAGGGATAATTAATGACCATAGCAAGAAACCCAACACCATGTTTACGTTCTGCCAGGCCCATTCTTTATTTTTGGCACTGAAGATTGAACCCGGAAGTGTTTAACCACTGAGCCATATCCCCAGCCCTTCTTATTTTTAATTTGAGACAGGGTCTCAAAAAATTGCTTAGGGCCTTGTTAAGTTGCTGAAGCTGGCTTTAGACTTTGTAATCCTCCTGCCTCAGCCTCCTGAGCCTCTGGGATCACAGGCATGCACCACCACACCCAGTCCCATTTTTTAAAAAATACCTTTATTTTGTTTATTTATTTTTATGTGGTGCTGAGGATTGAACCCAGGGCCTCGCACGTGCTAGGTGAGCGCTCTGCTGCTGAGCCACAACCCCAGCCCCGCAGCTCCATTCTTAATACTTGATATTTGTTAACTCATTTAATCCTCACAATATTTCCATGAAGTAGGTATTATCTGCTTTTTAAGACAAAGAAACAAAGGAAACAAAACTGGTAGACAGTCACAAAAACTGGTTGTAGCCCCAATAGATGTAGCCCCAATTCTCACCATGACCTGCTCTTACTAGGTCTTCCCAAGAGGCAGAAACTCGTGGCCTCACTGGAATGAGAGCAACTGGCTACAGAAAGTCAGGATCAGCTGTGAGAGGGAACTGAGTCAGACCCTTCCTCACTTACCAGTCACGCCCAGAGTAGACACGGGGCCCACACGGTGGCCCTGGTGGAGCCCATATAGGTGCATCTTGTACTTGCGTCCAGGCTCCAGGTCCCCCACAGTGGCCTCTCTCTCCTCTCCTCCAACACGCACCACCTGGGGCTGCCCATCCCTGTCTTTATACTGGATGGTGAAGGAGTCAAACTGGCCTTGGGGCACAGTCCAGAAGAAGCTCAGGGAGTCAGGGGAGGTTCCTGTCACCATCAGCTCCCCCAGCAGTGGCTCCTCGGTGGGCTCTGGGGCCTCCGTGCTGGGTTCTGTGGGGCTGGGGTTCTCCACCTCTATAGAGCTGGGGGTTTCTTCCACTGCAGCTGAGAAGGAAAGAGAGAGAGGGTGAGGCAGGCTCTCTAAGAGATGTGCCCAGGTCTTAAGGAAGGAGTGAGAAGCTGTGGTCCCCACTGGCAGACCTGAGGTCATCCTTGGGGCTCCAAGGCCTTGCTCTGCTGAAAACTGACAAGCATGCCCAAGCTCCTGGTCAGCTGTAGGGAACTGGGGAAGCCCCCAGCATAGCACAGGTCCCTTTGGTGCCTCCCTTCCCAGGAGGAGACAGAGGTCAACCCCAGGGGAAGAACACAGGGGACCACAGTTTCAGCTACAAGCAGACCTGTGTGGTTACTCAACTAAGCCCCTGCCACCATGTCCTGTTCAATTATCACCAAGGAATTAGAGGGTCAACTTCCCACCAGATCACTCACTTGTCACCCCAGTGGCAGACATGGGGCCCACACGTTGGCCACTGTGGAAGCCATACAGGTGCATCTTGTACTTGTGATCTGGCTCCAGCCCTGAGATGGTGACCTCATCTTCATACCCTGGCACCCGCACTACCTTGGACTGTCCATCCCCATTCTTGTACTGGACCAGAAAGTGGTCAAACTGTCCTTCGGGCACTGTCCAGGAGAGGCTCAGGGAGTCAGGGGTGGAGTCTGTCACAGTCAGCTCCCCAAGGCGTGGCTGCTCAGGTGTTTCCAGGACTTCCATGCTGGGTTTTGTAGGGCTGGGGATCTCATCTACAACCTCCCGTGGGGCTGAGAAAAGAGACAGGGGCACACAGGCATTAAGGGTGACTTGGTTTGCCATCAATGGGAACAATGTAGTACATCCAGCCTACAGATATGCTCCTCCAGCCAAGGTGCATAGGGGCTTGTGTAGCGTTTGGTATTAGCTACCCAGGCACTCATGGATGGAGAAGGATCAGCCTGTCTGCTGGTGGGAGTGTGCTGGTGGTTCAGAAAGAAGCTGATTCGAAAAGACAGGACCCCTCTGAGGATCCTTCCAGATCCTATCCCTGACAGTACTGACCTCAGAAAACAGAGGGATGGGGAGGATTTTTACCACCTTGTCTACTCACAGGGTGTTTTGGCAGCCCCATCCCTCTTACCAAAATGAAACCATGGAATGAGTTCTTGGTAAGGCTTCCTCTCCAGGCCTCCTCCTCTCTCCCCTTGAGCCCTTAGATTGAACTGCTAAGGTAGGGCTCTGGCCAAGAGTAGGGGAAAGATTCAGATGGGCAGGGGCTGGAGAGGGACCTGCCCTTCCTTGGTTGGCTCTGAAATCACATTCCCACCCACAGTCCCCTCCAAGGAGGTCTCTGCAGGGCTCCATGGACTAGGGAGACTGTGGCAAAAGGGAAACCAGCCCTTCTGTGACCCCTCCTTGGTTCAGGGGTGCTATGTAAGGGAAAGGAGACTGAGCAGGAATCAGGCAAGAATTAGAACCCAGGCAAGGATGGGAAGGCAGGGAGGAGAGGAGAAAAAAGAGGTTACTAGAAAGAGCAAGAGCAATGAGGAACAGCCCCAGTCTCCATGGGCCAGACACCACTCCAGGTACTGAATGCATGTTCACTGTATTTTCTAACAACTCTGTGTAGTGGTCACCATATTACCTCCATTTTACAGAAAGGAAAGCTGGGGCTCAGAGAGGTTAAGTAACTTGTACATAGTCCCCTGGTAGGAAGTTGCAAAGCTGGTGTTCAGAACCAGTTGGTTCCAGAGTCCATGCTCCAAACCACTTTGCCACACCACTTGTTGGCAGTGGCATCTTGGGCTGTGATCATGGCATCCAACAGAGAGGAGCTGGGGATGCGGAGGAACAGGCTGGGGTGCAGGGCTGAAAGTGAGCCCTTTACTCCCCTGCAAGATGGCTGGGAATCAGGGAGTTGGGCTGGGAAGAGTCCTCTCCATGCAGGAGGAGGCCAGGGAAACATGATTTCCTTATCTCCTGGATCTGCCACCTCTGTACAGAACAACAATGCACTGAATAGTGACACAAGTACAGAAGTGACTAGGTTCTAGCTGAGGCCCAGAAGGATCCCACAGTAAAAAAAGAGAGTCGAGAATACAGTGGTCGCAGGTAAAGGCAGCCTGGGGTGGAGGGATGAGTACAAATACTTGGAATGAGTTAAATTGGGGCCTGCTCTGAGATGGAGAAATAAGGCTGAGAAAGAGATTAGGAGCTAGAGGCTGGAAGAGGAGTTCTGGAATGTGGAGGACAGAAGAGCAGAGGGGAAGGAAGACAGCAGAGGCTTTGTCAAAAGAGGAGCTGAAAAAAAGAAGGTGGAGCTGGCCAGGTCCCACTCAGAGTTCGGGGGTAAGCAGGGAGAGAGGCCTGTGCAGCTGACTCACCCGTCTTGGCTACTATAGACACGGGCCCCACACGATGCCTGCCATGAAGCCCGTAGAGGTTCATCTTATACTTCCGGTTGGACTCCAGGCCAGGGACTGTGACTTCATTTTCATCTCCCCTGACAGGTACTGCCTGAGGCTGCCCCTGCACATCCTTGTACTGGACCACGAAGGAGTCAAAGGGGCCCTGGGCCACAGTCCAAGACAGGCGCAGGGAGTCTGGGGTCACGCCAGTCACCATTAATTCCCCCAGAAGGGGCTGCTCAAGGGACTCAGGGTGAGGGGGCTCTTCTTGCCTCTCTGGGGCTGTAAACAAGAGGATTCAACCAGATGCTGAGTTGGAAGTCTTGGATTGGGGTTTGGGGTTTAAACATAGTACCTGAGGGGGGAGGTGTCACTATTCTATTAGTATTAGAGCTGAACTCCTGTGAAGTCTAGTACAGCCAGAGTATGACACACCTTCTGGGCCTTGGGGAGTAGCTGAATAGAATGGATAAAGCCCAGCAGTGTGGGAGAGGCTGGCTGCCCCTCAGCCTGGGAGCAGGGCCAGAATGGTGGAGTCAGCCACCTTTCTGGGAGGCCCCAGCTGGCTCCTAGCTGACGGTAAGTGTGCAGAGAGAGAGAGGGGTCATGTGGGGGGCTTTGGTGGCAATACTCACCAGTAGTGCCATCAGCCATAAGGGGGCCATACCGCTTCTTATCGGCAATCCCAAAGAGAGTGAATCTGTACTTGTGATCAGAGTCCAAGGGGGAGATGATGACTGATCGCTCAGGTCCTTCCACAGGTACCACCTGGGGCCGTCCATCCTTGTCCTTATACTGGACTATGAAGGAGTCAAACTGACCCTCAGGGACAGTCCAGGAGAGGTGCAGTGAGTCTGGAGTAGGGTCTGTTACCCATAGCTTTCCCAGACGGGGTAGGGTTTCTGGACTGGGATCACTCTGAGGCACTAGGAAGAGAAGGTTGAGAGAAGGTGGGTCACAGCAGAAGGGGGAACCCATCTCCCACATAGGAATGTTGTGTGATATTGGGCAGGCTATTCAATGCACAAAGGTGCATGACCTAGGGAGTACAAGGGCACTGAAATCCAACCATCACTCTGCTTGCCGAGCTAAGTACCCTGCAGAGGAGGTTTGTTCACTTAAAAAAGGGTGCCATCATCTAAATGACACAAAATCCCTGTGGATGCAGTGCTGACTTTGTCACAACCAAGGGGTTCAGAAAGTGGGGCACCCAGCCAGGCCTTCCCTTATCTCCACAGCCAGGAAAACTTCCCCAGTGCAACCTCCACTGCTTCCAAGCCTAACTCATAGCTGGTTTCTCCTTGAAGAGAAAAGGATAGATCCTTGGGAAATTGTTGGTATCAGAGGGTGGCACTATGTGCTCTGGACCCTCCTCCTTGGGGCTTCAACTCACCTGCCATCCCCACTCTGTATAACCAGCCCCTGACTCCCTACCAATGTGGCCTTCAATATTTAAACATGCTCTTGTCCCTCACCCCCACATTCTGCCTGCATTTTTCTCTAACCTCTACCTTCCCTCTTTGCTTTCTATTCCCAGCCTAGATTTCCAAAAGCCACACTAACTGCAACCATGTCCCAACCCAGCTCCACCCCTCTGTCAGGCAGCTCCATGGTGCCAGTGTGACCTTACCATTGCTAATTGCCATTCAGTAGCCCCTGAATCACTCTTTCAGAATCTGGACCTACTGACCACACCCTCTTTCCTGGCATCCAGGACACCACTCTCCTCCCTGGTTCTGCCCATCCCTGACAGTCACCCCTCAGGCTACCCCATGGGATCCTCTTCCTCTGCTCCTGCTTGGAATGTTTTTGTCCCCAGAGTTCCATTGGCTCACCTCTCCTCCCTCTGGCTCCTGCCTTCAGACACTGATGCCCAGGCCCCTCAGCAGGCCTTCTCTCTGCTCTCTAGGCCCACCAGGGCAGCAATTGGAGGCCCTGGCCATTTTCTACTTGGGTGACCTCCCCTCCCTGTGCTTGATTCTCCTCATCCATGAAGTGGCATGCCTTGCCAGGCTGCTCTAAGCAGTAAGTATGATCATTCACTTAGAACATCCTGAAGGCATCTGACTCAATAAATGTTCAAAAGGTGTTTATGGAAGCGTTCCACGCTACATTGTTCCCCAGCTGCTGCTCCCTGCCTCAGGGAACAGAACTGATCTGGGAACCCAGGGTTTGCCTGGGCCTCTTTGCTTTCCTTCACTTTCGACATCCACCCCACTGCCATCATCCCAGCCAGGCCCCCATGTCTCACCAGCTGACTCACTCTCCAGTCAGCCTCTACAGCAGTCACAGTACTATTTGTGAGATAAACACCTAATCACTTTAAACGGCCCAGAGGTTCCCTGGGGTCCTCAAATGAGGTCCACACCCTTCGCACAGCAAAAGAGCTGTAGACCAGGCCCTTGAACTCCCCACATGCCTTGTTCTCCAGCCAGAGGAAACAGTGACATTGATTCTCCTAGGGACCACTCCCTCCCGCTGCCCCATACTGCTTTCCCTTTGGGATGCAGTTCAGGCCTTGCTGCCTGTAGCAAGCCTTCCTGAGCCCCAAGGCAGCTTCCCAGAGCATGAAGAAGGCCTCTTTTATGATAGTACAGTGGGCAGGTATGGGGTGTTTCTTCTCACTCACAGATCTTGGCTTCGGCCACTAAGGGACCATGCCTCTTCTTGTTGATGAGCCCATACAGGACAAATTTGTACTTTCGGCCAGGTTCCAGGGATGTGATGGGGGCCGAGCGCTGAGGCCCCTCCACTGGCATCACCTGGGGCCCATCTCTGTCTTTGTACTGGATCACAAAGGAGTCAAATTCCCCCTCAGGGACTGTCCAACGCAGGAGCAGGGAGTCAGAGGTCACGTCGGTCACTGTCAGCTCACCCAGGCGTGGTAGACCTAAGGACTTCCTAGGCTTCTCTCCATCCCTGTCTGGGGTTATGGTGGGGGCAAAAGCAAGCATGGTGGACTCAAACCATTTCCTTATCCCCATTCTCCCTCCCTCTTCTCTGCCTGCTTTACTCCATCCTAGCACTGCGTCCCTTGGAAACCTCCATCTACCTATCCCTCAGCCCTCTATGACCAACCCTCTTGGGAAAGGGAATATTTCCCCCCTCAATTTCTATTCCCTTCCTTGTGACAACTTCCCCACCTCTCACAAAACTTAGCTCCTCTGCACACCAGGATTTTGGTGGGAGTTTCAGTTCTCCTTTGGTTCTGCCTGAGTTTTTAGCCACCCCACTGTTGCTCCAGAAGAGTGTGAAGGCTCCCTGGCCCATCTGAGCTGCTCTCTCCCCTGCCATCCCTCTCCCAGTGGTCAGCTTGACTTAGAGTTGAGGTGAAAGTCAGCCACCCTTGTCCCATAGGGAGGACCAAAAGGGATGTGAGCCAGGTACCCCAGCCCTGTCTTTCACTGGTCCTGAAAAATCCCCCATCTCTGAAGTCCTGATGGCTGAGGAGTTCCAGCCCTCAAGGAGCCTCTAACCCCAGCAGAATCTAGCTGATGGAACCATAGGGTTCTGTCCACAGCAAGCCAGACTCCCAGGAAGGAGTATCATGGGCTGAGGGATCTTTGAGAGATCTATAGGGAAGGGTAGGGCAAGGAACAACCAGAAAGTAGGGGGCAGACACAGGTCAAAGAAAGTTGCAGGTGGTGGCCAGGAGCTTACAGCCTTTCTCCTTGGATTCCTGTCTCACCCTCTGACTTTTTTCCTCCCACTCCACCACCCTCATCATTGTTCTAAGATCCCCTCCAACTGTCTTCCCTCTGAACCCAGAATCCTTTTTTCTTCTACAACCCAGCCCCCAACATCAGCTCTTTCCTTCACCGGCTCCAGAATCCCCATCTCATTTCTGAAGTTCTGACTTCCCCAGTTTCTCCCCCAATCTCAGGACATTGATCTGAGCAGAGTTCAGGAAGTACCCATAACGCCTTGGTAGGTGATGGGAACAGAGGGCTTGCCCCCAGGGGGGATCCCATGAAGTAACAGCTTGTAGGGGGCTCCAGGAGGGGGCGGGGGCATCAGAGCCTGGCGGACGTCCCCTGGCAGCAGTTCTTCATGTGCCCCCGGGCCCTCGGGCACCTGCAGGCGCAGCTGGAAGTGGGCAAAGGTGTCGGGCTGGGCAGTCCAGGTCACACGGAGGCGCCCTGTCTTGTCTCTGCCCAGCACCCTCAACTCTCCCAGCTCCTGGGGGCGCTGCTGCAGGAGAGGGGCCTCAGCCCCTTGGGTCGTCGAGGGGCCTGAGGGAGGAGGCTCATCAGTAGCCCCCAAGAGGCCCGAGGGTGAGGACCCTGGGAAGGGGCAGAGCAGGGCAAGAAAAACAGGAGAGTGGAACATGAGAACCAGAAAGGAATTCTCAGCCTTTTATATTCCTGGGGAACCTCCCCTTTTATATTCCTGGTCCCCCCCCACATCCTCCCAAAGTTTTTTTCTGTCTTTCAAGCACCCCCATCTACCATTTTCCTGAGCAGACAGGCTTGTGCTTAGGGCAGGTAGTAAATAGATAAAGCCTGCCATCCCACTCCTCATAAGGCTTCCATGCCCTCTATGTCCCTCCCCACCCACTTCCCTCTCCCCACTGAGTGGAGGTCCGGCTTCCATTAGTGCTGCAGTGAGAAGCCTGGAAGAAAGGAGGGGACTGTGGTGTTAGGGAGGGAGGATGCAAGAAGAGAATGGGCAGTAGAAGAGAGGAAAGAGAGCATGGGGTAGACGTCCAGGTCAAGTGGCATCTGAGCCCTATGGGGGAAGAAGAGTACCATCCCTACCCCTCCACACACACCCACTGCAGCCATAGAGCACCCTTTCCCCCAGCCCAGACATGGTTCCTGTGGGAGAGACAAGCGTGTAGTGAGCCAGGAAGACTGAAAACACAGCCTAATAAGCAGTGGTTTCACCCCTACATACACATGCTGCCTGATGGCTTCATGGACACCCTCAAGCAGTTCTCAAATGTCCCTTCATAGTCAAGGCCAAGTTGTGGGAAATAACCACAGGCCACAGTCTTTCATCACCCTCACCACAGTAAATCAGAGAATCACTGGTTTCAACCCATGCCACTCAGAGCAGGATAGGCTGTACAAGCCATTATCCCAGATACCCCTTTCATTACCTAGGACAGCAATCCTGGTCTAGGTGGGAACCCAGATGCAAACAAGGGAACCCCAAAGGCCATAGGATGATACCAGAGCTCTGGGGTGAGGGTGGTTTCCAGGGACACTGGAGGGTGTGCTTTGTAGGGGTGAGGGGGGGTCCCCTGGTGCCTGGGCCAGGGAGGGCCAGAAAGTAGAAGGGTGTGGTGGTGGGGGTTGGCAGTCATAGAAGTGAGGCTGCAGGCTCCAAGGCAGGTGGCGCTGGGGATAGGAGATGGGTGGTCCCGCCACCCCAGCCCATGCTACCTGTGGTTGTGATGAAGGCGTAGGACTTGGAGGTCTGCCCCGCCCGCACCCCGTGGACCTCCACGTGGTAGGTGGTGCCGGGCCTGAGGTCGGGTAGACTGACTGTGCGTGTGGTGCCCGGCACCGTCAGCTCCCCGCTGGGGCCCTCTGCAGGCAGCTGGGGCCGCCAGCGCAGCACCACGCGCTCGAACTGGCCGCGGAGCCCATCAAGAGACACGAGGAGCGCACCGTCAGCGGAACTGCCCAACACCTCAGGCTTGGGGTGGCGAGGCGCGGCCAACCGGTCGACGCCTTCAGGGGAGAGGCCGTAGATGCCCTGGTTGGAGTCCCGCTTCCAGGTGCCCGCGGTGGGGCTGGAGGTAGGGTGGGGGCGACGGGGCTGGGGGGCGGGGGAGCCGGCGGGGGCAGCGGCCGCCCGACGCCGCTGCAGGTATTCATGGATGTGGCGCGCCACGGACGTGTAGGTCTGGTTGGCGCGAAGTGGGTAGCCGTGAGCCCGCAGGTGGTGCTCCAGGTCCTGCACCGTGCCGCGGAAGCGGCCCAGTTCGGTGGTCAGGTTGCCCCACGCCCGCCGCGAGGGCTGAGGCAGGTTGGGCCCCGGGCGGGACTCCTCCTCGCCCTCCTCTGCTGGCCCCGAGGGCCGAGCTGGCCGCAGAGGCCGCGAGGCAGGGGCAGGACGGGGGCGGGGCTTGGGGGGCGGGGCTGGGGGGTGCACCTCCGGGTAACTGTAGTGGCCTGGTGCTGCCGGGGACGAAAAAGGGGTAGGGGAGAGCTGGTCAGTGGCAGCTCCCCGCACCCTGCACTCCACTCCACCGCGGCTCCTCCCCCTCCCGTCCCCATCAGAGCCAGAGGCCTCTCCCCTGAGTCCCAGCCCCACCTGGAAACAGAACCAGAGCAATGAGTCAGTTCCCCTCACCCTCCAAGCCCACCACTGTTGGTGCCCTAGAAAGAAAAGAGAAGCCAGCAGGCGGGGCCCTGTATCTGAAGGAGAGAAAGGGGAGTAAGAAGAGAATGTGAGATACAGCGAAGTGAGCGTCCCCCTGTCACAGGAAAAGAAAAGAAAGATCCAGGCATCTGTTAAGAAACTTTGAGGGTTAGTAGAAAATTATGGCCGAGAGACCCAACTCCTGGAGACCAAAATCCTGAAGTCAACAGGACTGCTGATTTATAATCTGCCTGAATCCAGTTCCTACAAGATCTGACTTTCAGCACCACTGCTTCAGTTACCTAAGTTAGGATAAGAACCTTCCTTATCTGGGTGGATCAGAGAGCATCTCCTTTCCATGGGGTAGTTCCTTCCAGAGTCTAACCTGCAGCCTTGCTATAGGACTCTAAGCAACTGTGTCCTCAGTGACTTCAGAACAGAGCAACAGGTGTTTTGGGATTGCCACACACCCTGCCAAATGCATTCAGAGGAGACTGTGAACCTTAGACCTGGGCTCCCTGTCTTGGAAATTAGGGCCCTTCCCTAACCCCTGGCTGGCCATACCTGTGTTGGCCCTGACAGAAGCTGGGTAGCTGACTGCCCGACCCCGTTCTGCAGTGACAGTCACCACATATTCCACGCCTGGCATCAGGTCGGTAAGCAGTGTCCCATCCGCTTCGGGTGGAACTTCCAGCCGTACCCTCTGGTTTCCGGCACTGACATAGGAGACCACAAATCGGTCCACCTCAGCCTGGGGTCGTAGCCAGCTGAGCTCCAGGGTGGTCGGTGTCACAGCCACTACGCGGAGGTCCTGGGGACCATCGATCACTAGTTGAGTTGGAGAGAGGAGGGCTCATGTGGGATTCTGATTCTTCAGTCATCAGCTTTCCTTCCAAGACCCGAGCCCCCATCCCACCCCATCCCTCTGCCTCCCACAGGACAGGCCTACAGCTGTCCCTCTCAAACCCAGACTTCCACCCAGGACCCTGCCCCCACAGTTCCAGCTCTCACTGGTGGTGATGGTCTTAGAAGCAGGAGGACCCCAGCTGGTCCCTCGAAGGGCACGGACAGTGACCTGGTACTCCTGACCAGGGGCCAGTCCTCTCTGGTCATAGGCTGAGGCAGAACTGGGCACCCGCGCCGTGAATGGGGGGCTCGCCCCCTCTGTCTGTGAGAGAGAGTACCAGGTGGATCAGAGGCTGGTACTCTTGCCCCTACTGCCCAATTCCCCTATATCTCTTCTTTTTCCAATTCTGAACAGTGCTGGCATGGGACTGTGTGGAACTTGGCCCTGTACAAGCTGGGAGCAGGCAAGTAACAGCAAACATGTCTAGAGCCTTACTTCCTGCTAGCTGCTATTCTAGGCAATTTACAAATATGAACTCATTTAATTCTTTTTTGTTGTTGTTGTTTTGGTACTGAACCCAGAGGCATTTTACCACTGAACTACATTTCTAGCCTTTTAAAATAATTTTCAATTTTGAAACAGAGTCTCACTAAGTTGTTCAGGGTCTTACTAAGTTGCTGAGGCTGAGCTCAAACTTGCAATCCTCCTGCCTTGGGCTCCCAAATTGCTGGGATTATAGGCATAAGCCACCATGCTAGCCAAACTCACTCAATTCTTGCAACTGCTCTGTGAGATAGGTCCTATTGGTCCCATTTTACAGATAAGGAAACTGAGAATGATAAGTATCTTATCACTCAAATCAAGATAGTGGCAAGGACTTGAGCCCAGGCAGTGTGAACCCAGGTTTGCTCTTCCTGGGCACTCTTTGTTTTGTTCATCTACCAGAATTCCACCTGACAATCCTGCTGGCTTTCCCCTGGCAACCCCAACTACCTGAGTAGGAGGAGGCTTCTCCTAAACTTGTTCCTTTCAGAACAAATGAAGTAGACTAACGATCCCCTTTGAGTCTCACTTCCTCCTTCAAGTGTCTACTCAGCCTGAATCTCCAGCAGATGCCTGCCCTGGCTGTGTAATTTGGTTGTGGCCTGTATCATGATATTTCTTTTTAGGACTTTTCTCTTCAGCTTGCTTCTAGACCCCTTTACAACAAGGCCTATGGGCTCCTAGTTCTAGAAATGTTTTTCTTTCTTTCTTTTTTGGTAGCAGGAGCATATAATCACAGAACCACATCCCCAGCCCATTTTTTACTTTTGAGACAGAGTGTCACTAAATTGATTTAGGGCCTCACTAAGTTGCTGGGGCTGGCTTTGAATTTGTGATCCTTCTGCCTCAGCCTCCTGAGCTGCTGGGATTACAGGCATGGATACCATAGCCAGCTCACAAGTGTTTCTTCATTGCTGATTTTGAACCTGAAATCATGCTCAGTAATGGAGACACAAAAATACAGTTCCTGTCCTTGGGTAGCTCATATTCTAGTAGCTAAATGTAGATCTCCACACAAATCTCTTTGTATAGTAAATGAGTTTGAGAAAACAACCCTTCTCTAAGTGTATATTTAAGGTAGTGTGATTGTATATGGTGGCCTCACAGGAAATTTGGGCTGCTGCTTTAGACAGAGTCTTCAGAGTGCCAGTCTCTGGGGAGGCTGGAAGAGCTGGACATTTGTGAGCATTCTAACATCCCTGCATTTCACTGGGTTATCCAGCTAGGACAGCTGCTGAGGACACTGTGTTCTGCTTAGCTATGTTGGCCGTGATGGGGATGCCTCCATTCAGCCAAGTAGGATTGGAAATTTCTAAAGGTACTCTCCTAAACCAAGAGACTTGTGGGGAAATCAACATAGTAAATACCAAAGTATAAAACCAGATGAGAAGGCCACGTAGAGATTTCTTGTGGAGGATGAAATAAAGCTTTGTCAGAGTTTTCTGGGTTGAAAACCTTTCCTGGACACACACGATCTCTGTTCCTGTCCTACTCAGGCTGCTCTTGGATATCCCAGGCTAGGAAACCTTAGATTGGCCCTCACTCAATACCTGTAACGTCTCACCCTTCCCAGAACCCACTTGCCCATTACTCTCACCCCTACTTTCTCTTGTCTCTGTCTCTTTTGTTTTTTCTTTCTCTCCTCTCCCTCCCCCCACCCCACACTTGGGTGCTCCCTGAGTAAGCCTGGTTCTTTCATTAAGGCAAGCCTATCCCCAGAGTTTTCCTTCACTCTGTGGAATAGCCTGTCTATATTCTGTAGACACCATTTGGTTCCTCCTGAGATAGATTTGGGAACAGTCCCCTTAAAGGTCCACGGTCAGCCTAACCCATGTGTCCCAGCACCATCTTGCTGGCTGGAGGCAGATTCTGGCAGCTAACTCTGCCCCTTGGTAAAGCTTGGTTCCCTCAGCAATTGTTCTTGGTGAATTTTTAACTTTATTCTTAATGTCAACCTCCCTCAAAGGGAGGACTCTATCTTGACTGGTCTCTCACCCTCCCTTTTCAGACAAGACCCATGCAAAAACTCTTCTGTGTGTGCACTCTTGTATTCAAGCCAACACTTGGCCTAGTCTGTTTCCAGGCTGCAGAATACACCCAGACCAGGAATACCTGAACCTCTTTCTGAGGCAGGGATCACCTCCCTTAGGATGCCATGCTTTCTCTCACACTCTCATAACAGCCAACATTTTGGAAAATAAGCATTTCTTAAGTAATGATCCTCAGATTTGAGGCCATCAGAATCACCTGGGGGACCTGTTACAACATAGGTTACTGAGATCCATTTGCAGACTTTCTGGAGTAGAGAGCTGGGGTAGAGTCTGATATACCACATGTTTCTAACAAGTTCCCAAGGTAATGTTGATGTTGAGGACCAGGGAGCACTGAATACACTTTGAGGCCCACTGAGTCACAATAACAATGCCACATATGCAAGGAGAAAAGGGACATTCTTCTTCTGTGTTCTGAAAATAATTCCAATAACTAGCAGAGTTTGGATTTTGAGAGAGAAGTACTTCCAGAAAGAGGGAGGAGATGAAGTAGAGACCGGCTTCAAGGAAAATGGCAGAGGTCAGAGGACAGTGAGCTACTGAACATATCCCATGCCAACAGAAATGGACAGAGAGCAGTGGCCAAAACAGAAGACTCAAGTGTAGAGGTCAGCTACACAAAGAAAGGACTGGGAGCACAGGCTGGTGTGGAATCCAAGAGGGGTGTTTAGGGACCAATTAACAGGAGCTTCTTTCACACCCAGGCCCACAATATGACAGAGTTCCATATCCAGAGCAGAGTAGATGAACTGAGACCAGGACCACGCCTGGAGCAGGCCAACCCAGCACCACCCTGTCTCAGAGTAAAGGGCAAAGCCTAGGGCTTTGGCTGGCAAGCTGCACCCCCTGACAACACCCAAGGATAAATCTGTATTTATTCAGAGCAGGAGACAACGGTCTCTGAAAGCTTCTCTTATCTCCAGTGTTTATTTTAATTCTTCTTTCTCTGAAGTTTCTTAGGAAAATTCCTTTTAAAAGTCCCACCCTCTTTGGATTAGAGCTATGTAAATAATGTACACATAGAAGAAGAGAGTGGGAGAAACACTTTAAAATGTTAGCAGTGCTTATTTTAGTGTGGAGCAGCCAAGAATTATTTGTTTTTCTTTAGCTGCCAAGTTCTTGTCTCGTGATTAAATTATTTTTATCACAATTTTTTCTTTTAAACATAAGAAAAAACCCAAGCTACCTTGGTTGTATCACAAACTAGGGATTTCTGCCTCTTCTTTGGCCTGAGAGTGAGAAGAGATAGGACATGGTGGGGGTCTAGCCTGGGGGTCATAATGAGACCAGGCAAAGGGGGGCAAGGATGACAGCTAATATCTCTGAGCTATCCCTTCTGTCCTAGTGTCTGACCAGGCTTTAGGCCCAGAGAGTTATTTATTTTTCCAGAGTCCTGGTTAAGCTGATGGAGATGAGGGTGACATGGCACATCCCTTGTGGCATTTGGGGATGATGCAGGAAAACATGAGTTGGATGCTAGAAATGTCAGATGATTTAGAGCTGGGAAACAGCCATATCCTAAAAGCTCAATTCACAGAAAGGGAAGGCCCTAATAATAGGCCATAGGCTTTGCCCCTATTGTGCTCCCCAAATGTTTTAATGGCAAGTTGGAGGCGGGTAGAGAAAGAATGCTTTGCAATGTGCTGGCGTCATGAAGGTGAAAGAACAAGTCCACAGACTCAAATTATTGCAACAGCCTAGACAGCTTGGCCTAAACCAAGAAAGATAACATTGAACAGAGTCAAAGGCAAAGACCTATATTTAGACTAAAAAGTGTATATAGTTGAATGTTGTCTTCTCTCTTTCCTTCCTTTCTTCCTTCCTTCCTGCCTTCCTCCCTTTTTTATTTTTTCCTTGCTTATCTGTATTTTCTACATTTTATGCACTTGGCCCAGATGACTTTTATAATTAAAAGACACTTAAAAGAATTATGATCAAAACTGCTGACAGTATTGTGACTACAAGTTAATATATGCCAACTCTGAGAAATGTGCTGGTGCATCCAGAGTTAGCCAATGGGCTCCTCTCTGATGCCATTTTTGGGGAACACACAAAATGCAGGAAGCACAAGAATGTAATGAATTCCAAACAACAAAAACTTAGGGGGAAGGGGTGAAGAAACTGAAGGGTTTTGCCTGGGGAGAATGAAATATAATTGATGGCTGATGTTGCCAAATATCTGGAGGCCTGTGGTATATGACACAGAAAAAGCAAAAAATATTCCATCAGCTGGTGCATGCTCAGCTGGGTCAATGGATGGATGGTAGAATTTGGGCAAATTTGGATTCACCAACACAATGAACTGACTAGCCTTGATGGCCAACTGTATAGCCTCAGGAAGTACTGAGCTCACTATCACTAGAAGTGTTCCAACAGCACTAGACCAATGCTTGCTGGAGATGTCGCAGAGGCCACCAGGCCTGGTATGGGGCAGGATAAGAAGGCCTGTACAGCAGCTTCAGGATTCCAGCCATCTGGGCTTAACCACTCATTACATGAACTTTTTGCATGAGGTGAGGACCCCCTCCCTTGCCACACATACTGCCAGTGCCACTCAGTCAGCTCACTCCTGGAGCTTGGCCCCCTTCTCACCGTGGGGATGAACTGAATTTCATAGGCATCCACAGAGCCAGGAGCCCGGGTCCATTCTGTCCGAACTGTTGTCTCCTCCAGGAGGTGCATCCTCATGTTTTCAATGGCTGGCACCTCTGCCCAGGAGAACAGGGTAGGAAAAGCTGATTAGCCCCAGGCAGCCACCCCCACAGCCCCTCTTACTCAAGGCCACACCAAGAGGCCCATCTGACCTTCCCCTGCTCTCTGTAGGTGGGGAAAAGTTGGTAGAGGCTGGAACAGGGCTTGGGTCTCCCTCATCTTCCCATCTCCAGGAACACAGAATCTCTTTACAAGCAGCTAAAGGGAGCCCCAATCCGCTCCTCAGAGATCTGAAGCCCAGTCTCACCTGATGACTGCCTCCCCATAGTTCTGCTTTTCTTGCGGGACTCTGGCTCCTCTGACTCCCACCCCTCTAACACCTACACCATCTCCCTCCAGGTCTTGGGCACCCAAGGCTTTAGGTTTTCTGGATGGCTCTTGGTCCTAGAATCCCAGTCCTTCCCCAAACATATTGGAGAAGACTGCCCACTCACCTTCCCCACAGTCCTCCCCGGCATAGCCATCTTGGCAGAAGCAGCTACCCTCGCGACACTCTCCACGGCCACGACAGTCCCCAGGGCATATCTGGATAGCACAGTCAGGGCCTCGGAAGCCCTCAACGCATACACATTGACCTGCGCGGCACAGTTCCCTGGGGCCGCAGCCCCCTGGGCAGGCGCTGGCGGGAGGCTCTTCCTGCCCACAATCCTCACCACCATAGCCCGTGTGGCATATGCACACTCCTTGAACACAGCGCCCACGACCCTGGCAGTCAGCTGGGCAGGTGCGGGTGGCACACACGGGGCCGGTGTAGCCTGGGTCACACACACAGCGTCCTTCCTCACAGCGGCCGCGTCCGTGGCAATTGGAGGGGCAGGTGCGGATGCTGCAGTCCTCGCCTGCATAACCCTCCCAGCAGGTGCATACACCGTCCTGGCACACGCCGTGTTGGCTGCAGTCTCGTGGGCACCGCCTTACACCGCAGTCCTCACCCGAGTAGCCGTCGTCACACACGCAGCGCCCATCTAGGCACTGGCCGCGGCCTCGACAGCCCCCAGGGCAGCTGCGTGTACTGCAGTCCTCGCCTGAGTAACCCGCATCGCACACACACACGCCATCCTCGCAGCGGCCATGTCCGCGGCAGTCTCCAGGACACCGACGGCTCCCACAGTCCTCGCCAGTAAAGCCTGGGTTGCACACACAGCGGCCGTCCACGCAGCGCCCCCTCCCGCGACAGTCTCCAGGACAGGCACGCGTGCCACAGTCCCGACCCGTGTATCCGGGCCAGCACACGCAACGCCCACTCTCGCAGCGGCCACGACCACGACAGTCCCCAGGACAGCTGCGCACACCGCAGTCCTCACCGCTGTAACCCGTGTTGCACACACACACACCGTTCTCACAGCGCCCACGTCCTCTACAGTCGCGCGGGCAGGCACGGGCGCTACAGTCAGGCCCGGTATAACCCGGCCAGCACACACAGCGGCCGTCCTCACAGCGGCCCCTTTGGTTGCAGTCGCCAGGGCAGCTACGCACGCCGCAATCGTCCCCGCTGTAGCCTGCGTCGCAGATGCATTCGCCATCCTCACAGCGCCCACGCCCCCGGCAGTTGCGAGGACAAGTTCGGGTGCTACAGTCCTCGCCTGCGTACCCGGGCCAGCACACACAGCGGCCGTCCACGCAGCGCCCTCCCTCACCACAGTCCCAAGGGCAGCTCCGCACGCCGCAGTCTTCTCCAGTGTAGCCAGGGTCACAGACGCAGCGTCCGTCCTCACAACGCCCTCTCTGGCTGCAGCCTCGAGGGCAGCTTTTCACCCCACAGTCCTCACCAGAGTAGCCAGGATTGCACACACAGCGCCCGTTCTCACAACGTCCTCTCTGGCTGCAACCGCGAGGGCAACTTTTCACACCACAGTCCTCACCAGTGTAACCTGGGTCGCACACACAGCGTCCGTCCTCGCAGCGTCCTCTCTGGCTGCAGCTCCGAGGGCAGGAGCGCTGGCCACAGTCGGGACCTGAGAAGCCTGCCCTGCAGACGCACACACCTTGCACACAGCGCCCTCGGCCTTGGCAATCCCCTGGGCAAGAAGGCCAACCACAACTTGGGCCGGTATAGCCGGGGAAACACACGCAGCGACCTCGGACGCAGCGACCCTGATCGTTGCAGTCATCGGGACAAAACCCGGATTCTGCAGGAGGGGAGGAGGGGGACATCCCAGACTCTGTGGGGTCGGAGCAGGTGGGTCCACCCCACCCTGGCTCACAGGAACAGGCACAACGGCTCAGGTCAAACACACCATGAAGGCTGCAAAGGCTACGAACATCTGTCTGGCCTAAAGTGGGAGAGAGAGAGACAGGCCTCAGTCTCTCTGCAGGGAGAGAGACTGAGCCTACATAGTATGCTCCTGTGCCCTCCTCCAGCAGGGCCAGCCTCATTTCATAAGGCCAACTTAGTTTCCAGTTGCTTAATGACCTTATCAAATGCTTGGGTTGACATCTAGCCCAGCTCCACTCCCCAAGTTGTGCCCTGGGCTGCATCCACCCCTTCTAACAGCAAGGAAGGGGTGCCTTTTTGTAATTCACACCAAGATCCAAGATCCTTTATGGACTAATGATGCACCCAACCCTAACCCTCTTCTCCACCCTCTCTTCTGTGCCTCCTCTTGTGATGACCAGCTCACCTGTGCCAGCCTGGGCAGCAGCAGGACAACATCCCCCAGTGCACTGTTCCTTGAGCCCCTTCACCAACTCCTCCAAGATCTCTAGCCGGATTCTCAGGGCCTGCACCTCTGAGGCAGGGACAGGGGGCTCAGTGCCTGGGGGACAGCCACAGCCAGCAGAGGGGGGCAGATTAATGCGATGGGTGAACACCACTTGCTTTTCCCCTCCTTCCACAGTATGCTCGTAAAGTTGAGAAGAGGGGCTTCCTCCCCCTGGTTGGGGAGGGGGCCGTGGAACTGGGAGTGTGACATTCGACCGTGGAGAGAAGGGGCCTGCGCTGGCTGTGCCCAGCAGTACCAGGAAGGTCAGACTGGAGGTTAAAGGACATTGGGCTGGCATCGCTCAGGAGGCTGCAGGGAGAGAGGGCAAATATGAGAGCAGCTTCAAAAGGAAGGAGACAAAATGCATCACCCCCTCTTCCCCAACACACCAGCAGTCCCATCACTCACAACTAATCTACCCAACTCACATATTTGTGAAAATTCACATTCAGCCCAACCCCAAGAGATACTTTCCTGGGCATTATCTGGTCTCTACCACTCTTTGTAATGTCATTTGGTTACCTTGTTCTCCTTTATAAAAACTGTGTTCTCCCTTCACAGGCAGAGTGATCTTTTATTTGTCACAAGTGCTCGAAGTTTACACTAGCCTAAGGGCTTTGCACTGTTATCTTCCCTCTGTCTAGGATGCTCTTCACTCCGTTTAATTTTGTTTTTGTTTTTACCACTGAGCTACATCCCCAGCTGGCCACTTCTAGTTCAAATCTTAATTCATGTGTCATTGACCCTGAGAGTCCTTCCTTATGCTGGGTCAGTAGTCTTCATCTCAATGGCCTGTTTATGTTCCTCATGGAATTTTCTGCTGCCTTGTTTTCTTGTTCTTTTGTCTTTTCCCACTACTATAATGGGTGCCCTTTTGGAACAGGGATCTTGACTGTCCTAGCACTGCTGTGTCCCTGTCCCTAACAAACTGATGTGTTGGTAAATGTGCCACCCAATACATAGACATTGAATGAAATTAGCAGATGAGTATCTAGGGCCAGTCCTTCACCAAGCACCTGGATCCCAGCTCCTGTAGTCTTTCAGAATCCTTAAGGTATAGATTATTTTCCCTTCTTCATTCTCAACTAGATCTTTCCCATCAGTTTTTTTTAATAAGTTCATATATCTCCCATTTAAAAAAAAAAAAAAAGCCTCTTCCTTGGGACTTACATTATCAAGTGCCAAGATTTATTATAAAGTTGCAAGAATAGTCACATGGAAGAAAATAAGAGCCAGAAAAGACCCAAGCACACATGATCACCTGATTAACGACAAAAGTGCCTCTGCAATTCCTCCGGAATTCCCTCCTACCGCACTTCCCCAACCAATGGGAACTCTCCAGGAGTCCCGTAGCAGGCCTAGGTGGACAGCAGGAATCTAATATCCATAAGAATGCAGATCTTAACATAATCATATCATCTCAATGGCTTGCTGGCGTCACCTTTCAACCAAAAATGCCATGCATCATATTACTTGGCTGTGGCTCTTAGCACTTGGCATCTTCTCTGAAACTGAACTTATGATTGTCTTTCCCATATCCCTTCCCTCCCAATGCACCTCAGGGCTCTATTATTCATCCAGTTCTATTAGCAGAAACCCAATAGCTCATTCAATGCCACCATATTTCATCATACTTATCCACATTTTCTTATAAACATCTCTTTAATCATTTCTTTCTTTCCCTCTTACCATCATTATAGTCCAAGCTAGTATCCACCTCTTGCCTAACAATGGCCATTGACTTCTAGCTGATCTTCCACAACCCTGCAAAGGCAACCAGATGTCCCTATTTTCCTTGGAACTCTTAAGTGTCTCCCCTCCAAATTATCTCAGAACAATGATAAACAGCCTTGCATCACCTGGCCGCTGTTGACTTCTCCTACCTCATCTCCCTTCTTCTTTCCACTCCAGTTCCACTCGCCTTCTTTAGGTCCCTCATATTCCTTGTGCTTCATCCTGATCCCAGACCTTCATATACACTGTTCCCTCTATGTGGATTACTCTTCCCTTCTCTCTTGGCTTCCAGATCCTTCAAGTCTCAGCCCTATATCATTTCCTCATGAAAGCCTTTCTGAACAAGTCAGGTCCCCCATCATGTGATATCACAGTACCATATAATTCCCAATTGCAGCATTTATAACAATTTGTGATCAGACACAAATAGATATATGATGGGATTATTTTATTACTTTCTTGCCTATTCTCAATCTGCCCATTAGACCATAAGGTCTATGGGGCAGTCATAGTAACTGTTCCCCCGACCTTGTCATCTGTATCCTTGCACCAAGCACATAACAGGTGCTCAATAAATATTTATTCACTATAGGAATGAATGAAAATTTCAATTTAAGCTCAGGACTAGCATTAAGGCTGAAGTCAAGAATAGGACCAAGGTCAGGGCTAGGACCACGGACAGTGTCTGGGAATAGAAATTAGTTAGAAAGCAGTAGCCAGGGTAGACCAGTCAGAGACCAGAGTTGGATGGATCCTGGAAGGATCAGATGGTATAAGCACTTTAGAAAACTGTTTGGCTGAATTTACTTGATTTAATAAAGCTGAACATATGTAAACCCCATGACCTTGCAATTCCAATCCTAGGAATACAACCAACATAGCACTACTACCCAGAATAGTTTCAAACTGGGAGCTACCCACATGCTTCACATCAGCAGAATGGATTAAATAATTGTGGTTCATTCTTACAGTAGAATAAAATAAGCAATGAGAAGGAACTACAGCTAAATGTAGTAATATAGATGAATCTTACTAAAAGCTTGAGCAAATGAAGCCAGACACACAAGAGAACATGCTAAATAATTCTATTTAAATGAAGTTCAAGAAGAGAGGATGGTAATCTATAGTGTTCTGAGTCATGAATATGGTGCTCATGGTGCGGGTAATGACCAGATGGGACATAGTGGGAGAATATAGAATGCTGAGAATTAATTAATCAATTAATGGTACTGGGACTGAACCCAGGGTTTGGTGCATACTAGGCAAATGCTTTACCACCAAGCTACACTCCCCGATACTTTTAAAAAACATATACTATATATATAAAAAACAGTGCTGGAAATCGAGCCCAGGGAAATCTTATTTCTTAATCTGGGTAATGGTTATTCCATCGTGTTTGTGGGATTCACTGTGGCAAGGGCTGGGACATAAAGGAGATAGGGGTTTGAGAGGCAAGGAGGGAGGGAGGGTTCTGGAGAATGAGGGAGTACAGAGGAGTGGGTCAAGCTTCAGTTCAGGTAAAAGTTGAGGAGTAATGTTGGCAAGTGCCAGCTCTTCTAGACTAGAGGGACTGGAGAGAGGAGGGCAGAGTAGGGCAGCGGAAAAATGAACTAGTAAGGGAAGGTGTCACAGCTGAGGAGGCAAGGGACTGACCCCCCCCTCAATTTACATATTTCCTGCCTGCCTCTGAGTCCGAGAAAAATGAGTTTTCAGGGCTACAAGCCCCCACAGTCCCCCATCAGCCATCAAGACACAGACGGGAACTGGACACCAGAGACAGTGTTTCCACAAGGAGAGGCACCTCACCTCAGGTAGCCAAGGCAGATAAATCTGAATGTAGACAGCCACCCTTTTCTGTGCCCCAGCCCTTCTCAGGTAGAGGTGTAGCTTTGGGTATCAGGTGGGTTCTGGCTTAAACTACCTGTCATTCTGTGTCTAAAGCTGTGCAAATCATCCACATACCAACTATGATGGTGCATGCACAGACAAATATGTAACACAAATAGAGATATTCACAAGTGTTCATCCACAAATACAAATATGAACATGCTTGTGCATAAAATACTTACATCCACCTATAAAGCCTGAATCTGTAGAGGCACGTGTACACAGTACACACCATACTCACACTCAGACACACAACCTCCCCTCTACCTAGCCATTGAGTGATGACCAAGAAAGTTGATTTCTTGCTGGCTCAAAGGGCAGCTGTGAAAATGAAGAACTGAACTGAACAGAAGGGAACTGCACTCCTAGGACTCCTCCGAATTGGGAGGCGGAGGATACATGGTCCCTCTTGTATTCTCTGACACTGCTGGAGGCCTCTGGGAATTCTCCAGTCCCTTTCCCATCCCCCATCCCCCACAGGATTCAGTCTCTTTCCCCATGGGCATGGAAGGGAGTCTCTGTAGCAGGAAGGAGTATACAGAATCCATTGCCTTCTCTGGAAAGCTGGTCTAGAAGACAGGTGCAACCCCCATAAACCATTCCCAGAGCCTCCTTCCCAGTTCCCTCCCCTTCCCTTCCACCACCACCCCTCTAGCTACCCACTCCAATTCTTGGAAAATTCTGACTGTTCTCTTTACAATGGGCAAGCAAAGAATTTGGGTATCTCTTGTGTCTCCCCTCTGTCTCTCCCAAGTGTGGCTGGTTGGGGGCAATGTGGCCTCACCCTCTTGGCATTCTTCCCACAGTTGGAGGACTGGTAGGGGTAGGGGCATCTTCCCAAATGTGACTCAGCATCCCTGGTATTTGGTTTTGTGGCCAACTTTGACACTTTGCTCATCAGGGACTCTAGGACCCATGGGGTGTGGAGGGGGTGGGCTTCTATGAGGGATGTGTCAGAGACTGGGGGGTTCTGATCCCATCCTAATTCCTCCCTCTGCCCCTCCTGTCACACTCCCAGCTGAATTTGGCAATGAGGGGTAAAGGCAGAAGGAGTCTAAGAGAAAGGAGGGAAGGAGCACAGGAGCCTGAGATATTGGATAATAAGCAGGTGGGAAGAGAGTACTGGTAAGGGAGAGTTGGGGACCTAGCTGCCCCTTATCCTATAGAGTCAGCTGATGGGCCAGGAGAATGGAAAAACTAAGACAAAAGGATTTCCCAATCCCTAGTGGGAAAGGTCAGGAGGACAGTGAGAGACAGGAAGGCGAGTTCTGGTTCTACATTAGTGGCCAGGATTTAAGTAGAAGGAAGTTTGAGGAATTGAGGTGCTGGATCTCAAGGGATTGGAGACAGGGCCAGGGAAAGAGGGGAGGGGGCTGGAGGTCTCGGAAGTGGAGAAGGGTGGGACAGGCGGCAGCTGCGGTGTTTCCTAGTTGCTTCCCAGTAGTTCCCCTCAGTTCCGCTTCCAGTTGTTTCTAAGCCATTAAATTCTTTCCAGGCGAGATAAGAGGCCCGCCCGCCCCACCCAGGGTGTGTCACGTGCATTAGGGGGTGAGTGGGACGATTCCGACTGAGCAAAAGGAGACTAGAAGGGGACGGCGGAGTGAAGACAAGAGTGCTGTGCCCCTCCAGGGACATCACTCAGCCATTGCAGCCGCGGTGAACTGTGAGTCATGGGTGCAGCGCTCCCGGCCAAGAACAAGCTTCAGGATCATCTCTGTAGGCTTTGTGCCCTTCCCAAACCAGAGAGTCCTCACTTTGCCCCATTTCAGCATTTCCTAAAGGCTTAAGACTCCCTAGGGCTCCTTCCCAGGTTGTGAAACCTCCGTGCTGTCATCTGGGGAGTCCCCGTCTGGATGCCCAAAGCTCCCTCTGGCACCTCTGGATCTGGCTCAGCCACTACAGTCCCGGCAGTTGGGATTTCACCCGTACTTTCCTCCTGAGGTTCAGCTGTTCACCAGATCAGCCCAGCCTTGTCTTCCCGGCAGCCTCAGCACCTCACTGATAATCACCTTTACCGTGGTGCTGTTCTCCGAGTCCCTGGGTTTGTTCCCAATTCCTTTCACGTGCCTGTATGGGAACCATCCAAACCCTGGCACACCCCACCTCCCACAATCACACTGTCTCACCCTCCAGATATATCCTCTACAAGGAGTCTGATCCCAGTGGATGTCCCTATTTCCTCTGTCCTGAACAAAAGTCCCTGCCCTAGGAGAGACTCTGAGAGCTCTCCTGCCACACCTTTGCTGGGGTGTTTCCGACAGATAGAAGTGAAATCCCTATCTGTCTACCCATCGGTGTCTCCCTAGGGCTCTGTTCCTTACCTGGGCAATAGGGCAGCTGCTGTGCCTCTGCACCTGCTCTGTCTCCAATCCTGGGAAAGAAGTGTCTCAGAGCAGGCCAGGGTGGACTCCCTTTGGCAGCCCTAGACTCCCCGGAGGTCCCCCTCACTTGTCCCCTGCAGCAGAGGCTCACCAAGCCTGGACCAGACTGACTGTCGATCTGGGCAGCGACAGAGAGAAGGAGGGAGCCTGCAGTGAGCAGGGGGAGGAGAAGGGGAGGACCAGCATGAGGTCAGGGAGGGGAGCGGAGATAGGGCAGGTCCTCCCACCCCTCCTAGACACCACCCCTCCTGTCCCCCTGCCATCATCCTGGCTCCCTCCCTGTCCAGGACCACAGAGTCCCACCATACCCTTGTCTCACCCACTTCATCCTGTCTCAACTTCTCATGTTCTTTCCCCATCCTATTTTAAACTCCTCCCCACCCTAAGTTTTGCCCAACCTGACATTCGCTATTCTTCCCGCTAGTTCTTTATTCCCCATCCTTTCCCCACCTGTGGCCCCTTTTCTCAGACCCAGTTTCTTTTCTCTGCCAACACTGTTCCTCATGGCCAGTCCCTCTCCTGCTCCTTCCCCAAATTCCTTTTCCACTTCTTCCCAGATGCTGCTCCAATTGGAATCTCACCCTATCTGTTGCTAGCACAGGCTCCTTCATCCCCCCAACTATTCTCCACTGGCCATGCAGGGTAGGGAGCAGAGGTAGGAGCAGGAGATAGGAGGCAACCTCCCCTTTAACCCTAAAACCTCTGCCATGAGAGACCACCCATGGGGTTCCACATCCACCCCACCTGCCTCCATTGCTCCCACCTGTTCCCTCTTCCCCAGCTTACACTGACACCAAGCTGCCTTTCTGTCTGCTCTGACCAGTCCCTTTCCTGTTCTCATTTTCCCACCTCAGCAAATTCCTAGAAAAATGTGTGAGACTAACTAGGCAAGTGCTTGACTGAACATCAGGGTATATGTGACGTGGGAAGAAGTAGGGGTTGAGGGGAAGACAGGGAAGGAAAACCTGAGGTTAGGGGCAAGTAAAAGGATGAAGAAAAGAGCTAGAGCAGGAGGCACATATGGGTGATGTTGTGGAAATGGAGAGGTGATGTTGTAGAAGGCAGAATGGAAGGGAATTAATGCCTGGGGAGCAGGGAAGGGAGAGAAACAGGGGCTGGAGGAAAAGGGCATGTTGGTCTCAGGCGAGACAGAAAGACTGATCAAGCAAACACACCCCACATTAAGTCTGTTGGGTGTTTCTCTGGCCTCATTTTCCCAGTGCTGCCCTGTTAAGGGGCTAAAAATGGGACTTCCGTCACAGAGAACTGTTCACACTGAGGAAGAACCCGACCCAGGCTCTGTGGAGGATAGACTCCTCTCCACCCCTCACCAACAAGGTGTACCTTGGCCAAGTAATAGGTGATAGTGAAGGAACTTAGAACAGGCATGTGTTGGATGCCACATGTGATTTGAGGCACAGGTGTCTGCACCTCAGGTCAGAGATCTAGTCACAGATGTACTGGGTACCTGGGTCTGGGTATGCTGGCACAGCATGTGGCTGTGGCCACTGCCCACTCAGCTCTGCGTGGCTGAGAGCAGAAGCACACATGGGCTCTCTCATGGGTGTCCCCGTGTATGTCCGTGTGCCTGGGTGTATGTGGCTGTTTTTTTCCTGGCTTTGATGGGAAGGATGATGTCAGCATCTTGGATAGAGCTGGACTAAGCTTCCTTCCTCTGTTTTGGCCTGAACCCTCAGAGCCATGAGTAGGTACCACCTTCTCCCAGATCTCCCAGCAAGCAGTGGGGAAGACAAATCAAAGGCAAGGGAAATTGCACAACCTGGGGAGAGCAGATTGTAGAGTATGGATTTTTTCTCTTGACACCCTCCAATTTCTATGGTTATATCCATTCACCCACCCCCCCAGGCCCTGTCTTCTTTTCAGTATTTAGAAAGTATGGTTATTTAGTCCAGAGAGTGGTCATGAGACTCTGGAGAGAAGCAAAAACCAAAAGTATGGCCCTAGGATGTTTTGGAAGCCCACCTCTGGGGACCGGATGCTGGAGTCTGAGACAGGAACATGGGGTTCCAGATGTTGACAAGCTTATGAGGCATTTGGGAAAGCCACTGGAAGCTTGATGTAGTTCCAGGTTCCAAAATAATGACTGCCTAAATCTTGACTCACCTCCTACATTTCAGTCTCCCAGGAGTCCAGGCCTTATAAACATTTTGCTTCTCTTCAGAAAAGCACTGAGCCTTGCACAGCACAGGTGACCAATAAATGCTCGTCAATATTGAATTGTGAAAGGACTCTGGGGAGCAAGTGTTTGGCAGGGAACCACAGGTGTGAGGGCAGGGAAGCCCTCTGGTCAGGTGTTGGGTTGGCTTCACTGAGGTGTCCTGGGTGGTAGGTGGAGAGGTCATGGTGTTTTCCAAAACTGTCCGTGTGCTCTGACTGTTCTCAAGGTCTTCAGCTGGTATCTTCAGCTCTGAGCCTCCATCCTTGAATGATCCTCCAAGTTTCTGTCCTGACCTCAGGAGGTTATAGAATAAAAGATATACATAGAAGAAAAGGGAAAAGAGAAGAGAAAGAAAAGGAAGGGCAATTGAGGGCAAGGGCTTGAAGGACAGAGAAGGAAACGAAGAAGGGAGGCCAAGGAGGCTGTGAGCCAAGGAATCAGCCCAGAGAAGGAAAGATAGGAAACATTTGTACTGGGCTTCCGTTTACAAAGCAGCTTCCTACACAGGCATTTTATGAATCCCACTTTGTAGATGAGGAAATGGAGGCTCATAGACATTATGTGGCTTGTCCAAGAGAATTTGCTAGTAGTGAAAGTGGGCCTCACCCCAGTTTTCTGATTCCAAAGCCTACATTCTCTCCCCCTTCCCCAACAGCTCCAGGAAAGGAAGGGGTTGAAAACAGAAACAAGCAAAGTAGCTTCTTGAAGAACTTGCGGAAGAAAGCGTAAAGAAGCTGGATTTTTAAAACTTCTTTCTGTATCCAGTTATTGTATAGATTCAGGGAGAAGAAACCGCCTAAATTGCATATGGGGTAGGATGTCCAACATTTATTACAGGGAATTGAAGGCTGGGAGATGAGGATGGGAATAATGAAAACAGCCTGAGATGGGAGAGAACTAAGAGGCCAAGGATGAACAGGGGCTAGAGAGTCATGGAAAGAAGGGTCTGGACCCTTAAAACTTCCTTTGCCCAGAGACATGGGTGTGGGGAGAAGGGAGGAGGGAAGACATTTCTATCCCGTGACAAAAGAAAGTCACACAATTGTTTTGTTCTCTGCTCTGGGGCGGGTGGGCGCCTGTATTTACCAGAGGGACTGAGGTCGCTGTGGCAACCACACATCTGGGCCCCGGAATCCAGATGTGCTGTATCGAGAAGCCATAGCAGAACGATGAGGCAAACATTAGGCTCCCCAGTCCTGGCCCCCACAGCTGGGAAGAGGACAGAGGACTGGAGCGGGAAAGTGAAGAGAGAAGGGGGGAGGAGAAGACTGCAGCGGGGGAGAAGAGAGGAAGTAATGGAAAGGGGCAAGGAATGTGGACAAAGGAGTGGAAAGGGAAATGGGGGGGTGGCATGAAAAAGGGAGGAGGCATGCACGGGGTCAGCAGCAGGAGACCAGAAGACCAAGAAAAAATAAGAGGAAGAAAGACAGTGAAGCAGAGGGAGAGAAGGGGAAAAACAAAATGCAAAACAAAAACCAAAACAGGAATAAAGGGTCAAAAGATGTGATAATTTGTGCTGCGGTGGAGGGCCAAAAAAAAAAAGGCAGGCAAGAAAGAAGCAGAGAAAAGAGGAAGGGAGGGACAATGGTGTCAGGGAGTCAGGGACCACAGAGAACAAAAGGTGGGGATCCAGAGGGAGGAAGCAGGAGGTGGTAGCCCCCAAAAGCAAAACTGATCAAGAGGGACTAAGACAGGAAGGGAGCAATGAAGTGCAGGAGTGACAGTGGCCTGGCATGCTGAGGTAGCCTTGGAAGGGGCTGTGGACAAAGGAAATGGAAACCCACATGGGCTTGGAGGGCAGCAGCCAGGAGCCTGCCTTCACCCCCAGCCCAGGCATACCCAGTCTCCACAGTTCTCCATCCTCCCTGCTACTCCACTCCCTCAGCCAAGAGGTATGAGGCCTGGTTCACACCAGAGTGCCAGCTATCCTTGGCCACTTAGTGGAGGGGCAGCATGCCCCATCCTATAGCCTCCAGCATGAGATGCCAGTGCTTGAAGCACTTTCTCCAACTGGAGTCAGGAAGGAGGAGGAGCTGTAGGACAGTTGAACAGTGATGGACCCAGACGGGATAAAATGAGAATAGAGGGGGGAAAGGCAATGTAAATGGGGAGAGAAAGAAGTAAGGCCTGAGGGAACGGTGTGTCTACTATGGAGTGAACACTGAAAATATCATCTTTCATCCTCACCCCACCAGAAGATGTAGGTAGGAATATCACATCTCTCAGATGAGGACCCTGAGGACAGTGTTTTAGGACATCCACTAATAAAAGGCAAAGCGGAGGAGCCCAACTCAGGTGATCTACTTCCAAAATCCTGGTTCCCATGGAACTTACTGCCTCTGTAGGGCTTGATAAGGCTCTAGGGACCCTGGTGCAGGAAGCACAGCTGAGGACCAGGGCTGCCCTCTGGAGGGAGGAGAGGTCTAGTTCCTGGGAGCCCCCGTTCCAGGTTGCCATAGTTATCCAGTCTGTTTTCACCCCAAACACAGTATGGGCGGGTGGTAGGGAGGAGGGAGAGCCTGGCTGGACACGTGAGGTTCTTCCTCCCTCCTTCAGGCCTGGGCTTATGGCCCAGGCAGCCCCTGTCCAGTCATCTGGGCGTGGAGCCCAAGCCCAGCTCACACCCTCCAGCTGACCCAGGACACTCCTGCAGGGTCAGGCCTGAGGCACTGCTGGACAGGGGCAGCTGGAGGGGGATTTCTTCAAGTTGGGCTCAGACTCAACTCCTCACTTTGTCCCTCCTCCTAATTAGAATACACAGTCTTTTCTGCCCGACCTCCCCACCAACCCCCTCATCTGAACCCTCAGATCCCAGTCCCTCTGGTTTAGGGCTAAGAGGATGCCAGAAACATGCCCCTTTCCTCCCAAATAGCACCCCTTTCTCCAATGTGGCCCCTCCTTCCTGGGCTCAGGGCCCTCTGGCCCCAGCTCCTGTTGTTTGTGTGAGCTGCTCATCCTGGAAAGCAAGGGGAGGGAGGGAGAACCTGCTGGAGAGCAGGGGACCCTGAAGGGTGTGGGGCCCCCTGTCCTTCCTGTTTACTCAGACACATTCCAGGGATCTGCATCCTCTAGTCTGTCACGCCATAGACATCCCTGCGAGACACAGACATACCCCAGAGTTACAGGGGTGGGGCAAGGGGATGACATGAGGTCTGTGATCCCACACCCACCCCACCACCAGCAGTGTCTTCAGTGCTTGGTTTTGTGATGCTGGCTCTACAGAAGCCACTTTTCCCAAAACTCCCCATCATGAGCCAGGAAGGCAATCATCATTCCTTCAACTCCCTCCAAGTTGTTTATTTAATAACAAAAAAGAAGATACGCACACACATAAATCTAATCTCCCTCTACCAACCTTCCTTTACTCCCAGTAACTAGCTCCAAAATGTAAAAATGTCCCTTGTCCCACCTGGGGACTAAATTCCCACTTGTACCCTCAAAGAGAGAAACAAAAGAACAGAATATGCAGCAGCCCACCCACCCCAAAACTGAACATCACTCAATACTCTCAGAGAAAGAAGCAGGGACTAGGGGTTCATGGGAATGAGAGAAGCCCTATATTCTGAAGTGGGGTGAGAAGAGAGATGAACCACCCAGCCCCCAAATAAGTGCTTAGCCCCTGTCTTTCATTTACCAGCTGCCGCCAAACCCAGGGATCAGGGGAATTTGAAACAGTCCCAATTGGTCACACTGTACCCCCCACCCCACCCCCAATTCTTAGTGTGAGTTACAGAGGTCAGGGATGATTGAGGTAGAGGGGCTGGTGGGAGGCCTGGTGGGCCTGGCTGGCTGCAGAAGCTGGCAAGGGGCCACCTGTGGCATTGCCCGAGGTTGGGGACGGCTGTTTTCGGAGCGAGGGGGGCACCGTGGAGGTCTTGATGTGAATCACCCTGGTGTCCATGACCTCACACTCGATCTGCATCATTTCCTCATAGTCCCCTGGGGCCCCCCGGCCTGATAGGGTCTCTGTGAGAAGGGGAGAGTCAGGAAAGAGGAGAAAGGGGAGGCAAATGCGGGGCAGAGGTGTGGTCAGAAAAGTTATGGTGAGTAGGGAGGAAAGGAAAAGGCAATGGTACAGAGGTGGACCCATAACAGGGGTGAAACGGGATGGCAGGGATGGAGTTTGGTGCAGGGAGGAGGAAAGGGGTAGGAAAAGAAAATGATATTGATGGGGGAGGGGGTCATAAAAGAGAGGATGTCAAGAGGAAAAAAAGGACATGAGTCTAGCAGGTTCCCAGCCCATGCCCTCTGCCCAGCCACCTTCCCAAGCACCTTCACCAAGGAGCACCCACCCTTAGCTTCCTCCCATTATAATCTTCTGAGTTTTGATTTTCTCTCCACTTACTTCCTGCTTCTTCTCACCTCTGAGCTTAGCATCTCTCAATGTCCCACTCTTCTTCCCTTCTCCCTCAGCTGCCCTGCTGGATCTCCCTACCAGAACTTCCTCCTTCCTTGGTTTCAGGACCCCTCCCTACATCCCAGAGGGAAAGAATTACCATTGGGGGCCATGGCAGGCATCACCAGGGACATCTTGGGCCGAGAGGTCTTGTTGTGGCTGATTGCTGGTAGCAGCAAGTGGTCCTAGGGAACAGAGGGGCCAGGCTGGGAGGTGGAAGAAAAGATGCCAGAAAACAGGCACTCCAGCTTTACTCTTTATCTTCCCATTGAAGACAGGTTGCTAGAGAGTCTGGGATGACAGACAGGGGCAGGAGTACTTACCCTTCGGAAAGAGACAACATAAAATGTATCTTCCCGGCGGTCAATCGCATCCAGGAACTCTGGCTGTGAACGATCTGGGTGTCGATAAATCTGCAGTTGGCCCACAGAATCCCTAGGCAGGTGGGGAAACAGGATTTGGGAGGAGTTAAACCCAATGCCCACTTCCCACTGGGCCAGGATGAAAGAGTATGAGAGACAGAGACCTCAGAGGATAAGTGGGGGATAATCTCTTTGGTGACAATGCTGACAAGCACAGTATGGCTCTTTAGAGTAGAACCTCACTTAATAAGCACTCCAGTACTCACCTTTCTGGGAGGTCAGGAGGTTGGGTGGGGACTGCCTTAACTGGAAGTGACTTCTTCCGTAGCTGAGACTTCTAGAAGAAGAACAGGTGGCCCCCATCTCACGCCCATTCCTCTACTTCCCCAAACAATTCCTGAAACCTCCACAACAAGATGTCTCCCCAGAACAGTTAGCCCTTTTCTTCAAGTGGCCTCCTTGAACAATCTTACCCATCCTACCTGTCTCTCCTGGGTTTTCTGAGGGACCTTCCGCCGGCCCCTCTCATGGCGCTGGACCCAGCCACTCAGCTCATCGGCAAGCCTAGAGAAGCACAGCAGGGTAAACATGTCTGGGCCAGGCCTAGATGCCCTAGATGCTTTTCTGTCCTGCACACAGGAGTGAGAAGATAAGGCAGGGGAGCTGGTGCTTCAGTACATGAGGAGAACCAGGAAGTGGAGGGCCTCTGAGCTTAGCATCTCTCTATAGTCAGAGCCTAGCCCTGACTCCCCCATACCTTAGGGATTCGGTTCGGTTGAAGTGCCGACAGTCAGAGGAGAGAAACAGCTGGTCTAGGTCTCTCAGTAGTAGTTCCTTGGCACCCCCAGGGAAGGCTGTCAGGTTCCTGGAGTGAGGCATGGATGAAGCAGCCATCAGAGACTTCCCATTACACCCACATCAACGAGGAAGGTGCCAGTGGCAGGAGAGTAGCTTCGGCTCCCTCTTCACGCAAAAGTGCTTTTAGGGAGAATACTTGCTTACACCCACAAAGGAGATGCAGCTTCTTTCTCCTTACCTGAAACTGGGCAAGCCTTTTGAGCTAGGCTGCAGCTCCTCAGGGGCCTGGGAGGATCCCTGGAGGGGTTCAACTCCATGAACTGGCTCATGCTCTGAGAACTCCAGCAAGTGTCTCTGGGGTCGAGGCTCCTCCCCGCTCATCCAAGGAGAGACGGGAGCTGGAGGAGGCTCACTGATACTATGGACAAAGAAGGAAAGAGCAGGATAAAGAAGTCCAGCTTATCAAGTATCTACTTAAGAGTAAGGGCTTGGAGCTGGAGTTGTGGCTCAACGGTAGAGCGCTCATCTAGCACATGTGAGGCACTGGGTTTGATCCTCAGCACCATAAAAAATAAATAAGTAAATGTCCAACTATAAGTAAAAAATATATATATTAAAAAAAAAAAACTCGTAAGGGCTTGAGGGCTAGGGTTGTGGCTCAGCGGTAGAGCGCTCGCCTAGCATGCACAAGTCCCTGGGTTCGATCCTCAGCACCACATAAAAATAAAATAAAGATATTGTGTCTACGTACAACTAAAATAATAATAATAATAAAATATTTAAAAAAAGAGTAAGGGCTTGTGGCTAGGGTTGTAGCTCAGTGGTAGAATGCTTGCCTAGCACATATGAGGCACTGGGTTCATTCCCCAGTACCATATAAAAACAAATAAATTAAATAAAGGTATTATGTTTGTCTACAACTAAAAAACAGTAAGGGCTTGCCAGATGTGGCGCACGCCTGTAATCCTAATGGCTCAGGAGGCTGAGGCAGGAGGATCACAAGTTTGAGGCCAGCCTCAGCAACTTAGCAATGCCCTCAACAACTTAGCAAGACCCTGTCTAGGGGGCTAGGGATGTGGTTCAGTGGTTAAGTACCCCTGGGTTCAATCCCTGGTATCAAAAATAAAGAGTAAAGGCTTTGTAGTCAGATTGCCTGGATTCCAGTAAGACCAAGTCACTTCATCTTAAGATGGGAATAGGAACCATCTTTACCTCATAGGTCCAGAAAACAAGAAAAAGAATGCTTAGCCTTGAGCCTAGAACTCAGTAAGCCCTTAACAGTCACTGTTTTGTTTGTTTGTTTGTTTGGTGGTTAATAGGGATCAAATCCAGAGCTCTGAACATCTCAGGCAAGTACTCTACCCATTGAACTACATTCCCAGTTCAATATGGATTATTTTTATCAACATTATCACCAACATCTATCTATTGTACAATGTGCCATCCATGAAGGAAACAGTGGAGCAAAAAGACTGCTGGATATACCACCATTGCTGAGGACACCAGAACTGTTTGTGTACAAGTGGAAGGAAACAGACTTGGCCAAAGCAGGCAATCTAACAGTTGTGAGGGTCAGCTCCACCCAGAGGGTTCTAGGGAAATGAGTAGGGTCTCACCTGACAGGTCCAAAGTTGAAGGCAATAAAGAGAAGGAAGACCATGATGCAGACCACCTTCCTGTTTCCAGATCCTAACTTGAGCTCGCTGTTCTAAGGTGCAGAAGGAGAAGTAAAAGAGACAGGATGTCATCGCGTGGAGCCTGTGTTGCAACCCATCTCCCAAGGACAGTCCAGTCTGACCTCAGCCAGCAGGGCCTCCAGCCGCCGCCGGAGGGCAGCATTCTCCCTACGCAGCTGCTGGTTGTCTGCCAGCACTGCCTGCAGCCTCGCTTCCAGCCCCTGCAGATACTCTTTCTTCTTCCTACGGGACTGGCAGGCAGACTCCCTGTTCTTGATCATTCGTTGCTGTCGCTTCAGCAACTTTGCCTAGGCACCCAGAGAGGAGGAGGCAAAAAGAAAATGATAGATGAACTGGAAAGGGGGACCAATGGCCCTAGGCCTCAGGGACTAACTACACAAATCTCCTAAGGGCCGTTCCTACCTTCCACCTCCTCAGCCAGAGGGGCTTCCTCCTCTACTAAAACATTCCAGGGAAGGAACCCTTCTCTCAACCATTCCCTATTCCCTCTGTCACTCAGAGGAGGGAGAAATTAGACTGCAGGAAGAATTTCCTCCATCCTGGTAAAACCTCTTTACTTGGTGGGCCTTCCTTCTTCCCAGCCCTTGTTTACAGAGACCAAGTTTAGCCTTGCACTTGCACAAAGTTTAGCCTTGCACTCTGACCTCCAGGATCATCTATAGGTCTACATCTTCACTTTCTGCTCCCATATCTTAACTCCCTCCTCATCCACCATTCTCTCCAAGAGAGACTTCCCTTATCACCGTGTGTGTGTGTGTGTGTGTGTGTGTGTGTGTGTGTGTGTGTGGTGCGGCAGGGGCAGGGTACTGGGGATTGAACCCAGGGCCTGTGCATGCAAGGCAAGCATTCTACCATCTAAGCTACATCCCCAGTCCTCCCTCATCCCTTTCTTTCCTTTTCCTTTAAAAAAAAATATATATTTTTTAGTTTTAAGTTTTTATGTGGTGCTGAGGATCATACCCAGGGCTTCATGCATGCTAGGTGAGCACTCTACCACTAAGTCACAACCCTAGCCCCCTCTCTCTCGTCCCTTTGTATCACTAGCTCTACTCCTCTTCTTCCCAATACTTACATCCACTTCAGGCGGGCAAGAGTTCCCAGGCATAGGAGCTGGAACAATGCTTTTCCTCTCAGGCCGTGGAACAGTGGGGGCTGGCCCTTCAGGCTGGACTCGAATAGCACCTTGGATGAGGACAACTGGGGACACTGGGGCAAGTGAACAGGAGGTCAGAGAGCTATGAGTTACATGGGGTCCTCTGTCTATCCCTGCACCAAAGCACCCAAGGACTGGGTGCTTCCATGGCTGGGAGCTCTCTGACCAGGTCAATCCAGCCTGCCTCCTCCCTCTTTGGTACCTGCGGGTGGCTGGACAAGAGGTTGTAGAAGGACAGTGGTGCTAGGAGGCACGGATCTGGGTGGCATCTGGACGGTGGTTAGCACCACAGGTTTGGGCTGCAGTGGTGGCTTCCTTGTGGGTGGGGTTTTGCCTAAAGGAAGGTGAAAGAGAGGAAGATGGAATTTCAGGACTGTGGGCCTCTTACCAAGGACCCCAGGGGTCAAGAGGCCCCATTACCTGAGGAACTATCAGGGGATGGACCCATGCTGATCTGGACAGCTCCAAGTGAGGGGGCTGGAACATCCCATAGGAGGCACCCTGAAGGGGATGGGGACTCTGTCTTCACTTCCAGCACCTCCTCTCCTATAAAAGCCTATGTGGGGCAGTCCAGAGAGATGTTAGTCAGGAGGAGTATCAGATATGTCAAGAAGAAAGAGCTGAAGAGAGAAAAGCTCTCACAGCCATGAAGCAGGAAGGGCTCAGAGGAGCTCCAGGAGGAAGGGAAGTTATACTTACCTGGCTGGGGGAGTCTGCCGACAGCAGTGAAGCCTCAGAGTTAACAGAAGAAGATGGAGAGACTGGTTCTACCTTGGTTTGGATATCTGTGGGGTTGCAGGAAGAAATAAAAGCAATAAACTTAAATAAAATAAAAAGAAAAGAAATAAATTTACCTAATATTATCTGGTAAATATTGAAGAGGAAGTGGAAGAGGGTTCAGATGGAGAAATGAGTTATTTCTCGTTCTACCTACTACTCTGGCCAGAGGCAGGCAATTCAGAAGGGGCCAGAAGCTGCTACCCTGATGATTCGTCTTCTACCTTTCTTCAGTACTCTTTCTCCTTCAGTAGTTTCTCTAATTTTTCTTATTACTGCTAGTTTTCCTCAAGGCTGTTCTTGCTATTCCCTCTTTCTTTTTCACAAATCTTGTTCATTCACATAGCAGAGACCCAAACAGAGTCTCCAATATTTACATGGCCCATGTTCCTGTCTTGCCGTATTTCCACCCAACCTGGCCTAGAGTACCTCCCACACTAAGAACTACCCAGCTTGCAAGTGATCTATCACTTGCACCCAATCCTGACTTGCAAGCTGACTTCTGGTCACTTACATCTTCATGCCCCCATGTACCCAAATTCAACTGGCTTTAAATGAGGCTCACTGCTTTTCCTTCATACTAGTTCCCTTTTGATATCTGTTAGCTTCCCAGCCACTAAATTACAAAGCCTCAGGCACTTCTGAGCCTCCATAGCTTCTGTTAAATCTCTTCATATTTTGTTGATAACTCCAGGAAAACAAATGTAGGACCCACATGGCTTAAATGAAACCCAGATTCAGGTCAAAGGGCAACAGTTCACCACTACCTCTGTTCACACCACTTATTTGCTGCTGGTAAATTATGATTGCTAATACTGCTATTTAAAGTTTATAATTTATATTTTGGATACTTAATAGTCATATGATATACATTCCAAAAGAACAAAGGGGAATTCAGTGAAAATTAAATTTCCTTCCCTTCTCTGTCTCCTACCCACCCAACGTCCCTCCTCAGAGATCACTGCTATCATTATTATTTCTGCTGCTGTTATTATTTTTGGCATTGAGAATTAAACCCAGGGGTGCTTTACCTCTGAGCTACTTCCCAGTCCTTTTTAAAATTTTTTTTTTACTTTGACACAGAATCTTGCTAAGGTGCCCAAGCTGGCCTAGAACTTGGGATCCTCTTCCCTTAGTGCCCCCAAGTATCTGGGATTACAAGTATGTACCACCTGAATCCATGAGGTGACCACTATTATTTGTGTGCTATAGCCCTCATAAAGCTCTCCAAATGCTGGGACTATGCTCCTATCATAGTAATGGATAAAGTATAGGACCTTGAAAATACCTAAAAAATAGGGAAGAATCTGACTTTAATAACAATGTGCTTTACCAAGTCACAGACAATCTTTGTTGCTAAAAGTCTTTCAATTCTTATTGTGTGTGCCCTATTTGTAACATTTAATAGTCTGCTAGATATGATCTGTTTGTCTTTCTAAACTACTCTCTACCCTTCCTTGAACTGCTGAGGTCCAGGAAGAAAATCTAAATGGATTGCAGCAGTGGACTCCCTTGCTCTCCAGCTTCTTGTTGGAGTTCAACCAGGCAAAAGGCACTTTGAAATAAAAAGTCATCATGTCCAACATTGAATTAATCCTCTTCCCTGATGGCTTCTTGGCCAAGATCAAGTGTAGTATCATCTTCCTTGACCAGAGGATTCCTGCCTTTGCAGTCTCCATCCTGCAAACAGTACCCTCAAGCACTGTAACCTGGCAAGTCAGAAACCGAGGCACCCTCTTTGAATCCTACCTCTCTTCAATGCCAAGGATCACTGAAGTTCATCCCTTTCATTTCATTCTTTCTCAAATCTGTCTTCTTCTCAGCATTGGAATGTTTTCTCTTGATTAATGGCATGAGTTTCTTCCTTAGTCCATCTCACTATAGTCTTCCTCTCTACAATCCATTCCTCTTTATTTTACTTTTATTTATTTATTTATTTTTGTGGTGCTGGGGATTGAACCCAGGGCCTTGTACATGTGAGGCAAGCACTCTACCAACTGAGCTATGTCTCCAGGCCCCAGAGACATCTTTATAATCCTATGCCTTCCCCCTCACTTAGTTGTTCAAAGGCTCCCAACTGCCTTTGAACAAGAGGCCCCTTGCCCACTTGGTCCCCTAGCCTCTGTAGGTCTTCACCTTACTTACATCCACTCCAAAGAGCTGCAGGGTCCTCAAATACTCACAAGTCAACCCTCTCATCCATCTGGTTTATTTCCATATGTCCTTCAAAACTCAGATCAGTTCCCAAACATGAAAATGATAATATTTGAGGAGATGAAAATGCTAACTACAGGCTGGAGATGTGGCTCAAGCCTGGCATGCGTGCGGCCTGGGTTCGATCCTCAGCACCACATACAAACAAAGATGTTGTGTCCGCCAAAAACTAAAAAATAAATTTAAAAAAATTCTCTCTCTCTCTCTCCTTTCTCTTAAAAAAAAAAAAAATGCTAACTACCCTGATCTGATCATTATACATTATATACATGTATTATACTATACTCCATAAATAATTTATGTCCATTAATTTACGTCCATTAAAAACCAAAACAACAAAAAAGGATAAAGTAAAACAAAACAAAATCTCAGCTCAGGAAACCTTTCTTCAGGAGCAAGTCCCACATCCAGCCCCATTCCGGTTAAGCAGCCCTCTCTCATGAACTTTCCTCCTACCATCCAAAGATCTTTATGCTGGAATGACCACAGCTATACTGACTCATATTTGTCTTTCTCTCTACTATATTACAGAACTCTTAAGTCAGTGTGGTGGTCACATCTTTTTCATCTTTGCTTTCCCAACATGCTGTCCAGTATCTAGTATGAATTAGGTACTCGATAAATATTTGCTAAATGTGCTTTTGAATAATAAACTTAAAAATCACACACAAAAAAAGCACAAATGAGGTTAACTGTAGAATCTAGGGGTTAGATATATGCTATTCCAACCTTTCTGTATGTTTGAAAATTTTTATAATTAAATATTGGAAGAAGATGGGTAGAATGGTGCTCTGGAGGCTGAGGCAGGAGGATTGCTTGGGGCCAGGAGTTCAACGTTTGCTTGGGCAACACAGCGAGACTTCAGCTCAAAAAAATAAAAATAAAACAGTTGGGGTAAAAATAACACAAATAAATATGTCCTAAATTGTCCACAGTTTTTTAAAATGCAAATTAATGGTAAGTTGAATAATACAACAGAACACTAAGAACAAGAAAAAGAGAAATCATCGATATCAACACCTTTGCTTCAGTTTCTGAAAATTTTCCCTTTCATTCCTGGCCCTTTTCCTTGCTACCTGCTATTTTCCCACCCCACCTTGTCGTTCCTGTCCTATTGCCTACACCCACTCTTCTATCTTTACACATACACAGAAGTAGACTACCTTGGTAAAGCCCCAAAACTATGGCAGCTGCCCCCTACTCCTCCTGCTTTTACCAAGCTGGGGATGGAACCCAGGGCTTCATATACACTAGGTAAGTACTCTACTGCTGAGCTATATCCACAGTTCTTTTTATTTTGAGATAGTGTCTCCCTAAGTTGCTGAGTCTAGCCTTAAACTTGTGATCTTCCTGCCTCAGCCTCCCAAGTAACTGAGATTACAGGCATGGGCTACCATGCCCCTCAGTGGCAGGTTGTTATTACCTGAGGGATCATCAGAGGTGGAGCCCACGGTAATCTGGACAGTTTCAAATGGGGAAGTTGAATCATCTCCGAGGAGGCATAGTGGGGGTGCTAAAGACTCTGTCTTCACAGGCAGAACTTCCCCTACTCCAGGGACCTAGATGAAAATCGGGGTGGAACAGGGAAGCAGAAAAGAGGAAAGAAAACAAGGAAGGTGTTGAGAGTAAGAGCAAAAACAGAAGTTTTAGAGCTTGTCAATTATCTGACAATTATTGTGGTCTGAATGGTACTGAGCATCTCTCTAAGCTGTCTCTTGTCCTTTGCTTTTTCTTTCTACTTTCTTCCTGGGAAGGCTGATAAAATTTCATGATTTGGAATATTGCTATACAGTAGACAACTTGGGCAAGAATAGCTCCAGAATTCTCAGCAGTAACACCTCTCTTCTTCCCAGCCCCACATCACTGCTGCCACATATCTCTGTATATAAAAAGACTCCATTTTCACTTCTAGACAACTAGAAAGGAATATGGAAAATGCAGAGGCAGAAGAAGACACCTCCCTCCACTTCATGACTCAGAGCAAATCATTTCCTCAGCATCCATGGGTAAAGGGAATGGAGAAAAGTCCCTGCAACACAGAGTAGGAAGACTGTTCTCTCACCTGGCTGGAGGGCTCGGTGGAAAGATGTGATGATTCCGAGCTGAGGGAAGAGGAAGAGCAGGGGGAGGATGGCTCAGACTTCACCTGAAGATCTGGAGGAAAAGGGGTTAGATAATAACCAGGAAGCAAAGCCTGAGAAGAGTCTAAAAAGTGTTGAGGGACATGGCAGGTGGGGAGGTGGTAGAGATATCTCCACAAGAGCATGGAGGAAGGAACACACAGAAAGGATCAAAGGAAAAAAGAGTGCAGAGGCACTTATGGGGAGGAGGTGTGAGGACTCAGGGGATGACATAGTTTCTAGAAAACAGTAGGAAGATAAGGGATTCTGGAAGGCTGAAGCAACCACAAAGACTATCTTACCTGGAAAGATAGGCAGTGGGTCCCATGGGGGCTCAGGGGGACTGGCATCCATCCCCACATCCAGGGAGCTGCTGTCAAACTGAATAAAGGGGGATATCACAGAGAAGGAATGTAAGAAAATAGAGATGACTCTGGTCTTGAAACAAGTCATAATTCTGGGTCCACTCCCACCCACCAAGGGTTAGAGAAAGGTTAGGGGAGCAATACCGGGACATCCTGCTCCACGCAACGGAAGAGCTGCGTCGGCTCCTCGGCCACTTCATCCAGGCCAGTATACAAAGGGCTGTCTACAAGCAGTGCGGAGTGTCAGGAGGGTCGTCCAACCGCCCAGCCTACCGATCGCACACAAGCCCCCGCCCCATCCCTCATTGGCTCTGCCTGGCCAGACCCACCGCCCGCCCACTTGAAAAGTGATACAGCCAAAGAACTTCAGCCCCTCCTTCCCCCAACCCCGGAACAACTCGACATTCCCGTTGGGAGCGGAGGTCTTCCCCAACTCCTTCATCTCCCGAAACCACGACCCCCCCCCCCTGCTCCGCCCTCCTTCGGACGGTGGATTCCGTATTCGCCCAGCCTTTCTCTTTGGCCTTCGCTTCCTTCCCGCGTGCCTCAGGGACACAGTTGGCCATAGCCGTCTTCCCTCCCCGACGCCTCACTCCGCACACCCCAGTCCTCCGGGCTCAGCAGGTTGTCAGTGAAGAAACGTGTCGGGTCTGCAATCTCGCTGAGGAGCATCAGCTCCGCCATCTTAGCCCCCCACCCCCCGACCATGAGACGGTTCCCAAGGCCCGCCTCTCCCCATCACCAACTAATCAGTTGACTATTTTAAAAAAGGGGGGGATCCCGGAAGTCCTACCGACCAGTAAAAAACCTGGATGCTGAGCACATGAATTGAGAAAAGAAATGGCTATACAGGCAGGGCCAATGGGAGCACGGCGGTGGAAGTAGTAGTTCCACGGTAGCTGGCTGTAAAACTGACGCACGCGCCAAACAGGCCCCAGCGACAAGGAGCCTGGGACATGTAGTTCCCAGGATTTAAAGGTCTAGCATCTCCCCCAGCCAGTCCTAAGTTTAGACTTGAGATAACTTCCTGACGTCTTCGGAGATAAATATGCTCCCCCAAGATTGTCTGAGAACACTGCTATCTCCCCCAGCAAGGCAAAAAAATTATAAATAAGATATGGGCTGAAACCCTCCCACTGGGCCCCTAAAAATCTCACAGAATAGACACAATTCACAGGTTCCTCTTAACTTTTAATCAGACAAACATCTTGCGCAGACCCTGAGCCAGCCCTGCATCCTGTTTCTTCCCCTGAATGACCACCTTCCCCAACTCTTCCTGGGCTGCTCGGTTTTTGGGGTCTACTGCCAACACTTTCTTGAGGTCAGCCGTTGCTTTTTCCAGGTTACCAAGGGCAGCCTGGGCAACCCCTCTACGGTATAAAGCCTTTAAATGGCCAGGATCCCGCTCCAGCACCCGATCACAGCTCTGGGCTGCCAGCTGGGGCTGCCCGAGCAGCAACTGACAGGCAGCAAGATTGGCATGAAGAGCAGTTCGTTCTGGAGGACCAGGTGGGGGTAAAGTGAGCAGCAGCCGAAGAGCCCGTCCATAGCATCGGGCAGCCCCTTCAGGGTTTCCAGCCCGAAATAGTTCTGAGCCCCTTGCATGTTCTTCTTTGGCCAGGGCCTCCTTCTCGCTGATCTCCAATTCCCAGGAGTCCCGGCCGTGAGTGAAGGAGTCCAGAGTGAGCCTGAAAGGAGGCCCAGAGTGCCCAGGGAGCTGAAGTTCTGCTTCCTCACCTTGACACATGGACTCTAAGCATTTCTCTATGAGTTCTCCCCAAGTTTTCTCCCTCCAAGGCCCAACACCCACAGTTAGCTCTGTCCAGCCTTCTGGCAACCCTGACCCTAAAGGGAACCCCAAAATAAGTACCCGGCAGCGGGAACCTAGCTTGGGTTTGTCCAAGCCTTGGCCACGGATTATGATCTTCTTGATAAAGCTCCCATCAGGACAGTACCAGACATCCGATGCTTGAAGGAACTCTGGCATCTCACGAGTTGATTCATGAGATTTTTCAGAGTCTCCTTCAAGTCTAGTGACCAGTTTTTCAGTCCCTTGAGGATTCTCTATAAATTGCCTGGCTGGATCTGAACTCATTTTCAGCTCAAGGGTTTCAGTAGGAAGGTTTTGGGTCTGCTGCCTAAACTCAGTAGTTGAATCAAAGTTTTCCTGGGGGTTCCTTTCCCATTGTTGCTTCAGTTGAGAGGTGTCCTTCTCTCCCGTTGGATTTACTGATGGTGTCTCCATTTGTCTGCCTGGTCCCTTCCACTGTGAATGAACAGTTCTGATTTGAAAGGAACAGATCAGGTTCAGGTCAGCAACTGAAAAGAAAATCATAACAATGCTAATTGCTGGAGTCCTAATTTAGACTCCGACTCGTTCTTTCTCATCTGAGACCGAGGCTCCTAGTCTGAAAGTATCCCCTCCTCCGCTTTTATTCCCCCGCTCCCAAAATCTCTTGTCTTCCTCAAGCTTCGGTTCCACCCAGACCAGATTCAGAACTATAAATTCCACAATTCCCTACGGTTCGAGTAGCTTCCCTACGGACACCCGATGAGGTAAAAAACTACCTGAACATCCAAAACACTTAGCATGGTGGTAAGAGCCGGATTACTCGAATCTTCTCTCCTTCCGAAGCTAAGTGCTTACTGATTATTGTCCTCGGAGTCTAGTGCTGGACTCAGAGGACTGCCTAGAAGCTAGGAGCAGCTGATACTGACAATTAATGCTGGAGCCCGCGAGACTTGCGTAACCAGTCAAATTTCTGGCAGCCAATCGGGAGCGGGGATGAACCTGTTTGGCCCGCCTACTGCGCATGACATCATTTCCTCCGCAACCACGAAGCTCCGGGCCTTAGCAACTGAAGTAGGCCGAAGCAACTGAACAAGGGGAAATTGAACCGACCCCGCTGAGGTCCACCTGGTCTGTTTACTCAAAGTGGAAAGAAAACCTGGAGTGGGAAACCCGGAAGATTGAAGATATAATAGAGAGTGGGGGTGGTGATGGTGAATGAGAGTGGCAGCAGTCCTTTTATCCAGCAACCTCAGGCCCTTCTGTGCTATTATTCCTAAATTCGGGGATCCCAGCAGAGGTCAACTCCTACCGGGTCCTTTGCCCCTTCCATCCAAGATAAACCCTCCGGCCTCTTTCTCTCCCACCGGCATGATTCCCTTAGAGGACCACTTGAGGCTTTTCTTTACCTTTTACATTATATTCATCATTGCCTTTCAAGTTTCATTTAATCAAGAAATCAGTGCTTTTCAAACTTTAAGGTGAATACACGTCAACTGAAGAAGCTGTTAAATTGCAGATTCTGATTTAGGAAGTCTAAGATGAGGAGTGTGATTCTGCATTTCCACAAACAACCAGGTGATGCTCCTGCTGGTTCAACCACTCTTTGAATGATTCCAAAATAATTTCATCCCATTCTCTTCACCCCTTGCTCTGTGCCCCTTCAGATTGTTCTACATTTTGCATATATAACTGGTATAACTTGCTCCATTGAATGTAGCAGGGGGAAACTGGTCCTCCTTGTTTGAGTAGGTGTAAGTTTCTTTTGTGATTTCATCCTTGCTTGGCCAGCTACCTGCACAGGCTGGGCCACCACAACTTTTCAGGGGGAAGGAATCCTTTTCGTACCTCACTTTGACTCCCTCTTCAGTTTGTCTCATTGTGCCTTGGACTACAAGGACCATGCAAGGATAGTGTATGTGTGTGCTGTGCATTGGTTTCATCATTAACTACAGAGTTGAGTTAAAACAGCCCTCTCCTGTTTTGTGTTGAGCCTCAGGTCACTAACTTAGACATTCTTTTTTTTTTTTTTTTTTTTTTTTAATTTTTTAGTTGTAGTTGGACACAATACCTTTATATTTATTTATTTTTATGTGGTGCTCAGGATCGAACTCACTGCCTTATACCTGCTAGGTGAGCGCTCTGCCGCTGAGCCACAACCCCAGCCCCAACCTAGATGTAATTTACCCTGGATTTTTATTTCTGTGTTCTGAGCCAGAGTAAGCTTAGTCAACACTGCTTCCACCCCATGGCTAACTACTTTCATTCTGGAATCCCTGGGATCCTATTGAAAATTAATCCATCTCTTCTTCCTCCCTCTTCCTCTTTTGATTTCAGGGATTTCAAGGCAGTCTAAAGCAAGTCATAAAGGAATAACACCCTACCAGGTATAGGGGGCATGCCAGTAATCCCAACAAATCTGGAGACTGAGGCAGGAAGATCACAATTCGAGGCTACCCTCAGCAATTTAGCAAGGCCCTAAGCTACTTTGTGATACCCTGTCTCAAAATAAAGAATAAAAAGGGCTGAGGATGTTGCTCAGTGGTTAGGCACCCTTGTGTTCAATCCCTGGTACCCACCTAAAAAATAAAATTAAAAATCACACCTAATTTCTGGATAGAGATCAGTTTCTCTCAAAAGAAATTGCTCCCTGCTACGAATCTGTGTTTTGAAATATTTTCTCTTATTGCTCTGTTTATCTGTACATTTCAGATTCCACAGGGTTGTGATTGTGTATGTGTGTGTGTATGTGGGTTATATCTTCTCCATCCACTCAATAAATATTTGTTGATCACCTGCTATATGCCAAGCAACATGCTATGAACTGGGGATACATAGATGCATAAGACAGGCCTAGTTATTGCCTTCATGAAGCTTATAGTCAGGCCAAGGAAAGTCAGTAATTATAATGATAGGAAGAGAAGTGTGAGATGCTATGGGAGTGAATGATGAGGGATGAGGGAACATTCTTTGACACTGAGAAATTTTTACTCACATTGTAAGAATGAGTTGGAGCTGAACCTCAGAATAAACCTTTAGGCTATATATTGAAAAACACTGAATTAAATAGTCTACTTTGTTTTTTAGGCGATCCTTTGTTGCTATTGTGAATATAAGTGCAAATGTAAACGTAGTGCAAACCTCTTTAAAAATAAGTCAAGTGCTTACTTTTGCAGCACATATACTAAAATGGGAATGATACAGAGAAGATTAGCATGGCCCCTGTGCAAGGATGACATGCAAATTCATAAAGTATTCTATATTTTTATTGTTTTATGCCCTAAAAATAAGTAAAATAAAACTAATTTAAATCATGAATGAAAGCATTTTTAAAAAAATGTTTTTGGTTGTTGATGGACCGTTATTTTTTATTTATTTATATGTGATACTGAGGATCAAACCCAGTGCCTCACACATGCTAGGCAACCCCAGCCCCGAATTAAAGCATTTTATTTTTAAAAGTTACCCCCCCTAAAAAATGAAAAAAAAAATACAGGACTAGGAGTGTAGCTCAGTGGTAAAGCACTTGCGTAACATGCATGAGGCCCTGGATTCCATCCCTACCATCATACAGACACACTGAATTTTACATTTTTGAGAGAAGACTCAGAGGTCCCCAGGGAAGACATCCATGGACCCATAAATTCTTCCTACCTCAACATGTGTAGGTAAAGAAATGGGGAAAAGTATAGGCTCTCCCCTAATGCATAGGTACTGCCTGAATGTTGACTGACTCACTGTGCTTGCTCTCTCCCAGTTGAGCCTCATTATATTCTCTGGGGGTAGTCACTAAGGAACCATGACAAAGGAAAGAAATAAGCCAGGAGAATTACACCCCCAGGCCTGGATATAGAACATGGGATCTGAAGAAGACATAAAAAGACACAGGTGAAAAATTACTTTCTTGGGAGAGAGGCTTGGACTGTGAAATGAGGGAAGATTGATGACTCTGCCCTCTCTTTCCCTTAGAGATTTGAGAGTGTAAAGGGATGCAGTGACATGCACCTGTAGCCCCAGTTACTGGGGAGGCTGAGGAAGGAGGATCTCTTGAGCCGAGGAGTTTGGGGGCCAACCTGGGCAACACAGTGAGACCTCATCACACAAAAAAAAAGATACTATATAGGATTGATGTAGCTCAGTGGTGGATGGCTTGCCTGCGTATAGGAGGCTCTGGGTTCAATCTCCAACACACACAAAAAATTCTTAACCAAGTACTCAGAACTCGACGATTAAATATGAAAATGTGGTGGATTCCCACCAGTCATCTAATAAATGTAAAGAATCATATTATGAAATGCTCCAGGGGAAAAAAATTAAGTGGCAAGGAAGTTATTTTAATCAGGGATGAACTGATCTGAAAAGTCTTCATGGAGGGGTTTAGAGAGTCGAACCTTGAAAGATGGCCATAGTTTTGACCTGTGAAGACTGAAGAGATTTTTTTTTAATATTTATTTTTCAGTTTTTGGTGGACACAACATCTTTATTTTATTTTATGTGGTGCTGAGGATCGAACCCAGCGCCCCGCGCATGCCAAGCGAGCTCGCTACCGCTTGAGCCACATCCCCAGCCCATGAAGAGATTTATTGTAGATGCAGAAGAAACACAAGACAGGAGAGATAAATAAAGGGAAACTAATTTACCCTCAGCATTATTCATGTCCAGCTTGTCAATCTCAATTTTCCCAGGCTATTCCAATACCTATTTGTGCTGCCCTGTCACCAGGCAAGGAGCTGGCTGCTAGTTTTTATACTCTCACATTCCTTTGCATTCCACATTCACCACATGGAACCATATGCTACACTAACACTCTGCCATTTAGCATCAGCATGAGAGACAAAAATTCTAGCTTTCCAAAGGTTAAATAAATTTCCCCTTCTGTTTAGTTTTGGTTTCTGTGGTTGGTTTTTAGTTCTGCTGGGATTTGTGTCAAAATTTTTCCTCCCTTCTCCCAAAGCAGTTTGTTTGTTTGTTTGTCCTTCCCTGTAGGCAGAGTTTTTAGGCAGGATGAGACAGTGAAAGGCAGACTTTTTTTTTTTTTTTTTTGCAATAAAGTGTGTAATATGAACTGCTCTTTGGCCAACACTGACCATGCAGTGTGACTGTAATACTAGTCACTGTGCTAAGTGTCTCACATACATTATCCCATTTGCTCCTCGCACATTTCTATGAGTTACTTATTCAGTAAGTTATTCAACAAATTATTTTTTCTTTGGTGGTGCCAGAGATCAAACCCAGGGCCTTAGGCATGCTAGGCAAATACTCTACCATTGAGCTACACTCCCAGTCCCTGGTTCAACAAATCTTTATTCAAAGTTTCCTTTGTTCTAAGCATTGTGCTAGGGGCTGGATATAAGGCAGTGAAATAGAAGCCCTGATTGCTTCTTGTAGTTTACATTTGAGGGAAGATGATAGTCAATAAAAGTCAATCCAGGGGCTGGGGAGGTAGCTCATCTGGTAGAGTGCATGCCTACCATGCACAAGGCCCTGGTTTGTGGGAGACCAACCTTGCACGTGACTGAGTCACATTCCCTGGCTGGGTGCTGAGGCGCTCAGTCACAGAAATGTGGTAGAGCTTTCCCCACCCTTCTGGGTTCGAGGGTTGGTGTCTCGTGCATGGGTGTGTCTTGCTACAGCCCCATGGGTGAAGCTATGCTCACCTGTTCCTTTGTAATATTACCCCTTGCCCTGTTTAGGGTAGAATCTTCCATGGAAGTGCCTTGTGTGTGTCCCCTTCTCTTACTGTGCCCTTGGGTGTGGCCTACCCAGGTGTCAGTCAACCTGCTGACAGTGGACATCATGAAGATAGACTCAGCCCCCTGAAACCTCACCCCTTGCCTCATTTGAATAGCTTCTCCTCGATAAAAGGGGTCAGCGCGTGCTCTTGCTCTCTTTCTTCCTGCGGACCCTTAAGGTCAGAGGAGTCGTCACAGCCGTCACATTTGAGT